CAACACCACTGCTACTGCGGCTGGTGCCCAAGCTCCTTCCCCCATTGTTGAGAAGACCGCCTGATCGGTTCGTTAATGTAATTAGTCGGATCTTCTCCTGGGATCTATGCACAGTCGGCTGCTTTCTATTTTCGCTCGGATTCAGAGGTGAATTATGTTGGTCTCTCAAAGGACCAAATGACTTGTGGCCTGTTTTGTTATCCTTTGCCTCTGATCTTCGAGTGCCATCTTTTCTCCTCATTTCCTACTAATTTGCCACGGGGCGTAGCTTGATTGTACTCACCCAGTGACAAGCCCCTGCTCTGCAACACTTTTTTCTAATGTATTGAACCTTGGATGGTGCTATTGATGCTAGTTTGGCTAAAGAAAGTTGAGATGTGTTGGTCCACTTGGTGACAAGCGATACCTCAATTCTGTGCTCCATGTACTGTAGCATTTCCTTCGTCATGAACAGGACAAGAATTGTAATCACTTGATTCATGAACTTGATGGTATTTGAACAGTAAAAATAGTTATGAATGGAAGACGCTTCGAGGGTACAATAAATAAATCAGAAAAAATGCACAAGAGAATGTACATGCTGGAACTTATGTCACGCAAAGCCCGATCTGTGTCCCAATGGTTGATGACAGTATCAGCGGAGAGAAGGGAAGATGGTGTCGGTGACGGTGATGAACGACGACGATGATATCATGAGCCCGCTCAGAGAGTATGAAAGAAGAATAGAAGGCTGGGATGGTTGAGTGGGCAGCTGAATTTCAGGGATGGTGGTTTGAAAGGCCATCAGGCGTACAGCGGCAACGGCAAAACGGGGGAGGGAGGGAGACATGGGAACGGCGACGGGCTCTAGAAGTCCTCCGGACTTTCTAGGTCTTCTAGCTTCTGGCTTAGGAACCGACCCAGGGCGGCGGATTTGGACTCCAAGGCGAGAAGGATCTCCGGGGAAGTGGAGAGGTTCAGCGTGGCGAGACGGGCAAGGTCGCTGCTGCGGTCGATCTCGTATTGGGTCTCGAGGTGCGAGTCTGTTTGCGAGTCGCTTGTGTCACCGCCGCCGCCGCCACCACCACCTGAAGCGCTGGCGCCGTTACTTCTGCTGCCCCCGGCGTTGGATGATACGACGCTGGCGTAGGTGCGGACATTGTGGGTGTTGTTGGAGGTGGAGTCGGGGGTGTTTGCGCCTGATGCATGGTGGTGGTGGTGGTGGTGCGTGGAGCCGTTCGGGGTTGCGTGTGTGTGACCGTTCGTGGTGCTGGCGGATGCATCCTGGGCGCTGTTGCTGCCCAATTTGGAGGGTCCGATGGCGGCCAGGAGGACCTTGTCGGCTATGGGGGTGACGACGGCTACTGAGTCGTCGAGCTCAAAGACAATCGATCCGACGTCGCCGAGGGATACGGAGGGAGTGGTCACGTATGACGAAGGATGGCTGGCGGGGTTCACGCCGGTGAGGTTGCCCGTTGAGGCATTCTTTGCGTAGCAGGTGTAGGCTGCGCCGTAGGTGGCGCTTAGATTACGGAGTTGGCGGGATGAGAGAGTGGAGGCGTAGGCGAAGATGGCACCGTTGGTAGAAAAGACTCTGGTGAGTATGTGTGGTTAGCTGGTGTCTATTGGCGGTAGGTTTCTTGCAGCGGACGGATGTATGTACACACATTATCGACGTGATTTCGGGAGGTGAGAGGTTGTCTTCTAGCAGGTCACTGAGGGCCTCTGCATCTAACATCTTGATATCGGGAAGTCCGGGAATCATGGCGATTGTGTCGTCCGTGGACGGCTCGTGGCAAGCTTCTGGTGCGGTGTTGCTGCTGCTACTGCTGATATGTTCCTCGATGGTCCAGTCTTTCGGCGGGGACCAAGAACAGTCCTCCGGGAAGAAGAAGCAGTTGTCCCAATAGTCGCGGTCGTTGTGGTCGTATTCTATCGGGTCCTCTGAGTACCCAAGGAGATCTTGAGCGTATTGGATTGAGCTTCGTTCCCAGTATGGACGGTACGGGGGTTCGGGCAGAGCGCTGGGCTTCTGACTAGGGTAGTCCGGTCGGACTGGTTGCTTGAATTCAGCCATAATTTCTCTGGAGCAGTGATGGAACAGAATTTCTATTGGGGATGGATGTAACAGAAAGAGAAGAGGTTGCTGTTCAAACCCAGCGCTCGATGTTTTGGGGGACAAGGCTCTAGGGGGGTGGTACAAGTGATATGCGAGGGATCCAAGATGCTCTGGTTCGCTCCAGGCTGACACTAGGCAAACAGCTCGTGGGTAGGCCCGGACTTTCTTTGCATATAGAACATTATGGTAGTCATAAGCAGCCGGTCGGTGCGCAATGACGTTCCAGAACCCGGGGAAGTGAGCCGCGGGGGGGGGGGGGGGGCGCATGTCTCAGGGAGGAATGACGGCCCCAGGTGCATGGCCAGCATAACAGGCAAATGCGAGAACACGAAGCAGCAGCATCGTAGGCAAGGCAAAGACAAGCGAGAAGAGAAAAAGAACAAGGAAGAGAGTTTAAGGGCGTGGCTGTTCAGGTGGCCAACAAGCATGAGAAGCAACGTCTGCCGCGTATGCGATGATCATCTGGCAAAGGATGATCCCAGAGGATTCGATAAGGCAAACGGAGAGAGACGGGAGAAGGGAGATGAAGAGCAGAGCAGAGCCACAAACCTTATTGTGATGTATCTGATGGGTATGCGCCAAGACAGGCAGGGAAATGCAAAGAATTGTGCACCGCAATGGTTTGGGATTGAGTTGAAGGAGAGATGTTGAGGAGGAGGTGATGGTGGAGAAGGTCGAAGCCGACAGACCGACAGACTAGAGACACAGCCGGCAGAATTCTCCCTATCGTGGGGAGAAAGCTTTCCGCCTTCGGTCACCGCCCTCGGTCACCGCCTTGTCAGCTATCAAGAGAAGCTCGAAGAATACTTCGCAGCGATGGGACATCATCATGATTGCACTGGTCAATTGAGATCAATTGATGCAGTAAGAATTGTTTCTAAACAAGAACGAGAATCTTTTAGCATCTTTTTCTGCTGGAGGTGCTCATTATTAGAGGATCTACGACCTACACCATTCAGCGTATCTAAGAATCCTCTACGGAGTACTTCGTATTTTGTTGACATTCTACACCCCCCCAGGCCACCATGTTTCAAACTACTGGCAACACAGCCCTTCTGAGTCTAAAGATATCTTCCCAGCACTTGATTAGACCATCTACTCATTTCCATGATTATTTATCGCGATGGCTTCATATTTGAGTTCACTAATCATGGGAGTGGATTAATAAGATAGCGTCATACACGGAAACCCCACCTTTTTTTTCTCCTCATTACTTGAACGTCTGTCTTCCAGTCTACCCCTCTTCCAGAACTTCCTCCCCTCCATTCATGTTCTCCCTTCCATTCTTCCGCTCCTCTTTCTCCCGGGTCCTCATTCCTAGATTCCCCCTTGTGCCTGGTACGGATTTCCCATCCATCTCCGAAGCTTAAAGCTGGACTGTCACTATCTGAACAATAACCCCACTTCACTCTAAGCTAATCATGCTAACCGGTCCGGGATCATTGCAGGAACCAGCCGATCACTCGCAACCATGGCCACCGATACTTCCAAGTATAAGCTTCACCGTTAGTAGTGGCCTGCGCGATTCTTGTCACAGACATCAAAACAACAGACTAACCGACGTCATGGGGGTTGAAAACCCATAGACACCATGATCCGGGTCAAGGACCCGAAGAAATCCCGTACGTGATTTTGCTTTTACCCCGAGCCCCCTTCCAGCCCGAAATGATAGCGCAGTCTTGGCTAATGAACTTGTCCTACTAGTGGAGTTCTACCAGTTCCTGGGTCTCAACCAGCTGCAACGGCTTGATTTCCCGGAGAACAAGTTCTCGCTGTACTTCCTGGGGTACAACGGGCCGCAGTCGCTGCAGGGGGGCGCGAGCCACTTCACCGACCGGAACGGGGTGCTGGAGCTGACGCACAACCACGGCACGGAGGAGGACCCCAACTACAGCGTGGCGAACGGCAACACGGAGCCGCACCGGGGGTTCGGGCATATCGCCATCTCCGTCGACAACATCGAGCTGGCCTGCCGGCGCCTGGAGGAGGCCGGGTATCCGTTCCAGAAGAAGCTGACCGAGGGCCGCATGCGCCACATCGCCTTCGTCCGAGACCCCGACGGGTACTGGGTCGAGATTATCCGCCGCCACGACGAGGACCGCGGCACCACCACCGACCCCGCCAGCTACCGCTTCAACCACACCATGCTCCGCGTCAAGGACGCCGAGGCCAGCCTCCGGTGGTACCAGGAGGTCCTGGGCCTGACCCTGCTGCGCACCAGCGAGAACAAGGACGCCGGCTTCAATCTCTACTTCCTCGGCTACCCAGCCTCCAACCCGGAGCTCAAGAAGGACGCCAAGAACCCCGTTGCCGAGTGGGAGGGCCTCCTCGAGCTCACCTGGAACTACGGCACCGAGAAGCAGGAGGGTCCGGTCTACCACGACGGCAACACCGAGCCTCAGGGCTTCGGTCACATCTGTAAGTCACCGTCTGCCCTGAACTCTACCGGCGAATTGTTGCTAATGCTTGCCTGCCCCAAGGTGTCTCCGTTGATGACTTGAATGCCGCTTGTGACCGCTTCGAGAAGTTGAATGTCAACTGGAAGAAGCGTCTTACGGATGGCCGCATGAGGAATGTGGCTTTCGTCCTCGACCCGGATGGATACTGGGTCGAGGTGGTCCAGAACGAGGCACTCAAGGCTGCCGATGTACCACTGGTTTGAATTAGCGTTGCAGCGTCACCCCGGCGTCAGATTAATGTGTGCATTAATTCCTTCTGACTAGGACTGTATTCTGCGAGAAAAAAAAGCTATGACATGTGCATGTTCTGATGTTGATATCTCACCAATGAATAGGTGACATAATCAGTAGTAGACTTCCTTGGGTCCATAATCTCTTGAGGCCCATCAATGGCCCAAGATACCCGCGCCGTTCCGATTTTCGGTGGGTATGCATGAGGTAAATCATGATTCAGCATTATCAATCTCCATCATCACGTCCCGCAGCCATTCCCCAGCATATCTCTCCGCAGAGGTGGGCCACGTCCCCTCCCCAACCCTCACAAGCGTGACTCTGCTCTCCCCAAACCCCTTCTCCCGGCCCCAAAAACAAGCCCGCTGCATAATGTCCACCATATCGACCGCCTGTTGCGCTAGGACACGCTCCGTGTGAGTTTTGCGTCTAGCCACGGTGGATTTCCGCTTCGCTAAGATCTTCTTGACCGGGGCCGGGGCCGGGACTCCTGGCTCTGCGTTCTTGACGGCCTCACCGCGAGCGAATACCCTTACCCACGGTAGCGTCACATCCAAGCGCTTGACTCCTCGGTTTGGGTGGTTCAACACCGCCGGACCGCTAATTCCGTAATCGAGTCCGTACGGCGGCCATCGCGAGACCGACTTTCTGCGACGGATGGCGGTCTGGTTTGTTTCCTCGTCGTCCCTATATTCTTCTTCGGCGGTGGCAGCGGCGGCGGCGGCAGCGGCGGCCTTCTGGCTGAGGTATGCCAGCATGGGCGAGAGTGGGGGTGACGTAGTTGGGCTCTCCGAGTGTGCTGATAATGCCGACATACTGCTGTCCGATAACGAGGGGTAGTATTTGTAGATGCTTTCCTCAAAGATTTCCTGCGATGTCTTCGGCTGCAGAACGGGAATCGGGTATTCCGGTCCTATCAAATACTCGGGGAATGTACGGGGAACGTCTTTCCCCGCAGAGCGGAGGAAAAGAATAGGGGAGGCGAAAGCATCGAAGTATCGTTCTGAAGCTGTGAAGTATAATCGTCGGGCTTTGAGGAGGGGGATCAAGTCGTGCGGTGCGGTGGGTGGCGTATTAGTTCGGCCCACTGAGGTTCGCTTCTTCGGAGTTTTGGCGTCGGCTGCTGGGGCTGCCGTCGACATCGTTGCCGGACTCGAATCTGTGGCATCAGGCATAGTAAGTAGACAATGCTCGTCGAGGCCAGTCCAGTCGCAGACTGGTTCGAGTGCTGCGACAGCATGGATGGATTGTGCTTCTGTAAGGGAAAGCATTATGGCTAGCGAGCCGCCGATGTGCGCGCCGATGACTCCGAGGCGCTTCGGCCGTAGGTATTGGTGGATCCAATCGAAGCCTGCGAGGGTGTCATGTACTGGAGTTGGGTATTGATGAAGAACCTTTTCTGGCGATGCTGGTTCTGCGCTAGTTGGTGCATCTGCCACAGAATTTGATGCGGGCTTTTGCGCTTCTCGAGATGGGGATGGAGAATAGCCCAGCCGATAATTAATGGTTACTATGGTCGAGAGAGTGCTAGATGCGAGATCTTGCGCCAGCGACAAGCTGGTGGCGCTTTTCCCAGAGGAGATTGCGCCATGGTCACATTGCTTGGAGGTTTCATATGTCTCGCGTTCAGCAATCTCAGGTTGCGTGAACAATGGTCCTGGAGGCAGATGGATGATCACACTCCCATTCTGAAGCGGCAATTCATCTGGATGAGTTATTCTATGTCGTACAGTCAGCTTTCTGAAGAGTTCTATTCGTGACATAGTTGGTGTTGACTTTACTGTAATGTAATCTGCCCACTATTCCCTACCGGGATAACAACGGCATAGTTGCTATACGTCGATGACGCGAGTTGCGCGCTGCTGCAGAACGAACGGGTAGATCGAGGTCGCCACCCAAAGACGGCGGTGTAGCTCCTCACTGAGGCAAGCCCTGGTAGTGAGAATAAGAGGTGGCGCATAGCACCCTAAATCTTACCAGGCGCGAGATGAAGGATGGAGCTGAGAAATGGACTAAGCATTGTTATGTTGATGGGGATTCGGTCGGCAGCCACAGGGAAGACCCCAAACGCTAACCATTTTGGGAAGTGAGCCCAGGTCTGAGGTTATTTCCTAATTCGGAAGTCACCCTCATCCTCGCTCCATCTCCAGCTGAGGTAAACAATTGTCGTCTCCATTCTGTATCCTCAGAGAGACCGACATCACACATTCTTACGAGAGCTCGATGCGAACGAGTCTCAATGGTCTCAAAGCCAATTTGCTAATACATGTCAATTAGGCATCTAGGATCCCCAATGATGACGCTAAGGAGCAGCGAAGACTTGATCGGGTGGGCTATGCTACTCAGTATTACCGAATATGATACTGTGGCAAAAGACAGAGATACTCATAGCCAGGTCTCCTTACATCGGCCTCAACTACTCCACCATGGCCTTTTGCGACCATGATAGGCAATCTTGCTAAATCCCGTTCCTGCTACTGCATGCACTGATCGTCTGGTTCAGCCAATGATGTCAATGATATCCACCCCCGCCTGATTGATTGCCGGTGGCTTTATGGATGCCTGGACCGCGCGCCAACATGACGCCAACATGAATTCGACGTATTCCACAGTATATCGACTGAGGTGCAATCCTAAGAACCAAAAAAAGACGGCAAGAAAGCAGAACTCAAAGCAAATACTCGGTGACGATACAAGTGTCGAGACTCCAAAACCGGCGGCCGCAGTGACATGGCAGGCGTACAGCCCGAAGCCTCCGCTAAACCAAACCAGGATGACCTTGTACCTGGTGTTCCAGATGAAGATCTGTGGTTATTGATCCGACGCTTCAATAAGGTACGCTTACTCACACCCATGGAAAGTGCAATGCTCAACTCATGACTTCAAGCAAATATACAATGTGCAAGCCACGTCTGAACCTCGTGCGGGTGACCTCGATCTCAACCCCGTCCAAGATGAACAATTTCCACCAGAGAAAGTGCGGATTACACTGGAGAGACTCTATGTCTCTGTTTGTGTAGGACTAATCACGTTCTATACTCATGTCGTCAGGTTACGGTCGTGGAATGAGCCCCGACGTACCTCGGTTTTTTGTGTAGTACGTTTTCTATGTTTGAATCAACGCCCTATAGACTACTGACAAATTCAAGGCCTATTTCGTCGCATGGCTTCGGAGTAGCCTCGTTCCCGCCATTGCCTTCTTTCTTGCTGCTTTGATTCTTTTTCCGTCACTACGACCCCTATTGTTTCCTAGTCTTACTCCCGAAGACAACGGGCCCAAGACCCAGCCACAGCAGGCCACAGATCAGCCCAGCAAGCACAAGGGCGAAGCTGCGGAGCAAGAAGCCAATAGTCTCATGAACAGCATTGCTAAGATTGCGGTGAAAGCGGCGACAAGCAGACATGGCCAGGAAATCACTGGTGACAGTCTAGAAGAGACGCTTGCTTCCGACTCGACCACAGATGTCAATACCATCCCAGATGCTGCGGTGATGGGGGACGAAACCAAGAAATCCATGAGAAAGGCGGTCGCCAATGCCACCACCCAAGCGATGCGTGTAATCAGCGATGGCACTGACATCTACGAAATGTTCTCGAAGTACGCGGTCTGCAATCTGGAAATATGAGTACGTTCAAACTGACCATAACGCAGCGCCCTTTCCCCGACGCCGCCCTTCACCTCTGTGACGGCGCAGATTCAACTAGTCGGTGTTCTTCTCGTAATCTGTCTGCTCACCTCCATCGTAACAAATGACTTCATTGTCAGAACCAACAGCTTCACCCTCGGCTTCTTCTTCTTTGGTGGTCCCATGCACCAATACTCCATGAACTACCTTAACGAGAAGATTCCAGACTGGAAGAAATTCCTGGATCCACGAGAGTACGTACAGTATGCTGTGGATAATAGCCATCATCAGACGTGCTAATTAAAACACCACCCACTCAGAACCATTCTAAAGGACATCCCCACCAACGCTCAGCTAACGCTTACCCTCCTCCGACTCTGCGAAACCAACAACACCCCGCTCCCCTCCCCACCATCCTCTCTACAACCCCACTCCAGCAACCCCATATCATCTTGGGTAACCTACAAAGACAAACTCAAGATCACAGCCACTGCAGCAGCAGCGGCCAGCTCAACCAGCCTCACCACAACCGCCACTGCTACCACCACCACCACTACATCCACCTCCGTGCCCCCCACCTCGAGGCGCAGGAGATTCTTGCCCCGCCTGCTCCGCATCCTCCGGACGACAATCACGCTTGCCACAAAAGGCCACTCCGCATTCAACCAGGCCATGGCAATTGCAGGCGCCACCCAGGGCACCAGACGACTTCTGCTCACCATGCACCGCCGCAATTGGGAATGGGAGACCTCCGGTCCCGACACCTTCGACGCGAAGTTCGAGCGTAAGCGCGGCACATTGGTCATCGACTCCCCTTCCCCGTCCCCATCCATCCCCTCAGAAAACGAGGCCTCAACCGCTCAGCCAGAAGAAGAAAACAGGGAGAATTTGAACCCATCTCCAATCCTCTACTTCAGCACCCTTCACTCCGCCACCCTGGACGACCACCGACTCGAGCATCAGAAGAAAGGGACGGTGCTGTTCCAGATTCCCATCGCCCAAATCCGAGGTCTCAGGAAGACGGAAGGGCTGGGGTGGAAGGGGAAGTTGATCGTGGAGTTGGCGGCAGGGAGCAAAGAGTCGGTGGATGGGTTGGTGGTCTGCGGGCCTGAGGAGGGCCAGACGTATCATGTCACTGGGATGAAGGCGAGGGATCAGTTGTTCAATCGCTTGGTGGCTATGGGGGGCCAGGCGTGGGAGAGGGTGTGAGCTGTTGAGTATGGTATCTTTCGTCTGGGGGAAGTTGGATATGATTTCCTTGCATTGTCGATTTGCTTTTCTGTATATGTTCTTCTAGGGGCTTTGTGTGTGGGGGAAATTTTGCCATATATTCATTCATACGTCGTATCAATCTTTTTGGTTTCTTACTGGGAAACGAGCATCGTCTTGGCTGCAATGTTTGGGTCGATGATTGATTCGGAAATTGATATAGGAGCTACATATATAGAAGAATGGAGAAAAGTAATTGTTCGAACAAGCTCTGGAGAAAGTATCTATTCTTTGAAGAAGTATTGAACCGATAAGAGAGTTCAGGCCTCCCTTACTCTGCACTGAGCAACTGAGCCAACCCCCACCTCCCGATGCCTTAAATACCAGACAGAATCCGAGGCTGTTTGTCTGAAGTCGCACTGACGGCCGGATCATCCATGTCCAGACACGCCTCCGTTTCATCCTCGGGAACAGGACGGAGAACCTCCAGCGACAGCTCCGAGTCCTTCGAGTAGACCCGCAAACCCACCACGCAGACGGCATTCCACGGATCTCCGTTCGCATCCACCTCGCTACTGCACGACAAGGTACGGGCAGGGGTCCTTGGTTCCACGGCCGGCTCCTCAGGGGGCATGTCAAGATCGGAATCGAACTCGAACCCCTCGAGGTACTTCAGATCCGGATTGGAGGTGTGGACCGGAGCGCGCTTGTCGCGGATCGAGAGGGAGACCCGGCCCCTCGGGTGATCGTGGCCGTTGACGACATGAGAGCTGCTGACCTGGATCGTGGGGATCGAGCCGTTCTCCGTTGGTTTTGCCTTTGCTTCGGAGACATGGTCATAATCATGGTCAGCATAAGTGTCTCCCGCCGCGTCGGAATCCTTGTGGCAGGAGGCCCCCCGCGCAGCCTCTTCGGCGAGTCGCTCATCGCGTCTGTGTCGTCGTGCCTCGCGCTTGCGGTCGCGGATCCACTGCTTCTGCAGTCGCTTCTTGGTCTCCTCGCGGAGCTTCCTCCGTTCGGCTGCCCGCTGCCGCTCTTCACGCTCTTCGCGGGCTCGTTTTTCATTCTCCGTCTCGGGCACGATGCCCTTCGCATGGGCCAGGTCGTACGAGAGGCCGATCTGCACCAGCTTCTCCCGTTGGGTGGGCGCAAGGCTGCGCACCACGTCCTCGGTGGGCATCTTCTCGTTGTCGCGGTAGGCCGTGACTTTCATAAGGACATGGTAGCGGCCGGGCTCGAGGTCGACTTCGACGTTCACGCCGCGGTACATGAGATCGCTGCTGTGGCTGCGCACAAAATAGTCGTCCTCGCCTTCCTTTTGCAACCGGAACTTGAGGACGAAGTCGTATTCACCGGCTAGTCCTTTGTAGTAACGGTCGTCGAGCTAAGTGTTCCAATCAGTCACCTATCACACTGGGAAAAAGAGCACAGAACCATTTAGAGCATACCTGTGAGAGAACGATAACGACGGGTCCACCTTTGCTCACGTTGATGACGAATTTGGTGTTGTGATAGTCGGCAGACCACGAAACATTTAATGTTGTCCATTGTTGAGTAACTGTCCAGTCATCATTAAAAAGGCGAGTTCGGTCAAAGTGCTGGTACTTCTTGAGAAAGTCGTCATATGAGATCCAGAAGAACTGCAATTTCGTCAGCATGCTACGCTGTCTCAATACTGGAATTTCATTCGAGAGGCCTACCCCATCGTTGCCGAACTTATGCCCTAATTTCGCCATCCACTCGGGCGTCCATTGTTCAGAGCCGTCGCTCCAGGGGCCATTCCATTCCTTTTTGCCCCACGGGTTTCTAGCTTCGATTTAGCATTCTCGCTTGCAAAGAAGACATCAGTAGCACCTACCGTAGCCGCAGCAAGCGTTGTCCGTCGACTTCCCGCGCCTCCATGATGGAATAGGAGTGGTTCTCCGAAATCCCCTTCCTGTCTCTGGGAGGCCCTCGGTAGCCCGGGTCCAGCCAGTTGGAGAACAGACCGCAGCCACAGCCGAAGAGGAACTCCTTGTTGACCTTCATGAGCTCCTCATTCCAGAACCGGTCTTTGTCTAAGATGTTACTGGAGAGTATATCCGAGGTGACTCCACCCGTCAAGTCCTCAAGGGCCTCGCTGTATTGCAGAAGACATTAGCACCTGCACTCCAGACGAAATGTATATGTGTCTTACCCCACAAACCCACCCTCGATTGCAGAGTAATCCCCATGAGCTTTGGCATAGGCTTTCTCAAGCAAGGGCAGCCATGTCTCATTCTCATCCACGCATTGAGCGAAGTACAAAGCTCGAGAGCCCGTCTGCCAGGCTTTGCGGTACTCTTCTTCGGTGTCTTTCCTGTTGATGTCGTCCCAAATTGGCCGCTCATCCACGGATTCGTCATAGTCAGCTGCCCGCAGATACAGCTTATCGTCCACAATACACTGCTGCCAGTCTCCATCTACAGGATGTCAGTGTTTCATCAAATCTGCCGAGCCGGATCGCCTCACCTCTGTAGAACACAAATCCGTATACTCCAACCTTCTCATTTCGAGCAACACAGACATCTTCAATCAAGCCAGGCTTGTTGCCCATCGTACACAACGCAGCCATCAACCAACAGTCGCCGTCGCGACCTTGGCGTACATCAGAAGCAGTAGGTCCGTTGACATAGAACTGCGGTTTCTCAAAGATTTCCTAATAATGGAAAGATTTTATGAGCATAATTCGACTAACCACCTCACGTTTGCCTGCTTCATTTTCCCAAACTCACCGTGACCCTCTTTACGCCCCTTGGCCGCATCTCCAGGCTTTTGTCCATCAGTCCATCAAGATAGTTCCTCCTTCCACGCTTGAGATCGGCGGCGATATCGAAATGCGGATCAGAGTACTTCTGATTAAGCCGCTCGCATTCCCTAGCAATGCGCTCAACTGAACGTCGACACTCTTTCCGTGCTTGTTCATAGGACTTTCCGGCCACCTGAGCTTGGATCACCCCCTTGGGTGTCCTCGCAGCCTTTGTGCGCGCATACGGATTATCCGGCAATACAGTATTGACCAGCCCCGGAAACTTGGAGTTGAAGTCATCCCAAAATTGCTTGACGGTTTCCTGGGGCGGTTGGTGGGTCTTCGTTCGCATCCTGCTCCCGGAGCGTGATGAGAGCGGGGGAGTATATGCCATATCGGTATGGTCTTCACAATCCATTTGCGCAGTAGATCATCAACAAAATCAATTTACAAGAACAAGAACGGGCCCAATGCATGGAACACTCAAGGTTGTTCGAGGGTGAAACAGTTCCCCAGAACCGGTGGCCGCCCGAACTCTTATAAACCCCATAAAGGCCGGGCTCAAGCCCACTGGTCGTCGTTGACCATATCAAATTGAATCCACGAGGGTCTCCACACAGCCTCAGCCCGGAAAAAGCGTAAGGCAGGCCAAGCATGATTGGAACTTTTACTTGCATGACAGGGGAAGAGAACCGGTCGAATGGTTCGAGCCCAGGTCCGAGCGCTTACCAAGCGCTCGTATTGTTAAACCACGCGCACCAGTCATTGTAAAATTAATGACCACTGATAAGGCCGAAGGGGAGCTCAATAGCAGAGCCGCCGATCGTTTCACATTGGATTTTTGGCCCCCAGTAAGCACGGCAGAAAGTAAAATGATGCAAACTTGAATTTTGACGGGCCAATCTAAAACGTGGGACATTAAGCATAAGATGCTGACGGAACAGAATAAGTGAAAGATTTCAGCTCGTGATGGCCCGATGTCCGGGTTGTGGTTACGGACAGAAACGGTCATTAGTCCGGGTAGCGTGCATGAGGAGGGTGGGCTTGGTTGCATCTCCGAGTCCAGTCGAAGTGCATCTCGCTTGCAAGTGCTGATCCTTTCGGAGCTGCCGGGGGTTTGTGGGCTTGTTTAGTATAGAGCCATGGACAAGGACGAAATGCAAGATGCGTTCATCGTAAGCTGGAATCTTGAACGTCAGAAGGGATGACATGATTCCGATTGGGTTGATGGAGAAGAGGGGTTGACATTCTGGCTGAGCCTCCTCAGAAACCGGCTGATACGAGGAAGCAATATAACACCTGCAAACTCAGCCTTCTGCGGCTGAATCTCACTGCTCTTTTCATTTCGGCTGAGTTTTTGACCGCTTCTTTCCATGTTTTCATTGGATTTTCACTGTGATTCGCGTCATTAGAGAAAGTACCTTGGGAGAATACATTTCGGTGTAGCAAGCAAGCCACGATCTGTAAATCAGCTGCAAGTGCAGCCATGCCTTTGCACCCATGCAGGAGATCGGAAGCCACATGTCTATCACTTCGGATAGCACCGCATCGTGTGTGACACAATAGGGACTCAGACTGGATTCTGTAAATAGGGAAAGTCAAAACACAAACAAAAAGAAACTGTGGTCAGGTTCAAGATATTTGTCGTTCGTGGTAGTGGTAGAATGGTAGAGAGGAGAGACGACGGGGGGGAAAGGCAGTTGAGACGAGGAGGGGAAGGGAGTCTCGACAATATGGAAGGAGCACCCCGTGCCCTTATCGACTTGGTAGCTGAGCACAACCTCCACCCTCTCTTCCTCTGAATTACTCATAAGAGATCTTGATAATTGATGATTGATGAAACAAGGAACAACTTTGTTCATTCAGTGTCACTGCTGCTATAGAATGACCTCGCTTTCTTTTTCTCCATTTACTCAATTATGGGTATGTACGCGTTAGTCAAAATACTCCTTGCGATATCCAGTAACCTATTCTCGTTCCTGCCGGATCACTCCACAAACAACGCCATGGTAACAGAAGCAGAAAACGACGATGAGAAATGTGAGGAAAGAGCGGACTGTAGCAGCGACGCGGACAGGACTCAGCCTTGAGGGGGATAGATGCAGAAACCGCGGTGCTGTCCATGCCACTGTGCATCATTGCACCTGCCACGGTCGTCCGCATTGCATACATGCCTGAAACATGATCGTGGTAATGTGCGGGCACGGCTTATTTAGTGGAAACCGTTTCTTGTCGTTGTCCGGGTGCGACCGGAGTAAAATGAGCTGCCATTGGCGAAGTAGGGGTGCATGCAAGCCTGCTTGGCGGAGATACGCCGGGCAGGATCGTACTCGAGAAAGGCATCGAGAAGGTCCAGACCATCCTCCTCAAGTCCAGGAACCAGAGCACGGCTTTCGTCACGCTTCCACTTGGGGAACGTGGCTTTGAAGTCAGGGAAAGAGGTGACTCCGGGCCAAGCGGCCTCGTCAGGGGTACCGAGAAGACTGTTGAGGAGGGAATGGTAAGCAACTGAGCTACGTCATGATGTCCTGCTTTTTGGGGAGGGGCAGACATACCGGAAAATCTTGAAGATCTCGTCGATCTCCGAGTCACCAGGGAATAACGGCTTACGAGTGCACATCTCCGCGAAGATGGCACCGCACGACCACATATCAACACCAGTGGAGTATTGGCGTCCACCCAGAAGGATCTCAGGGGAGCGGTACCACAGAGTCACAACCTAATCAAGAGGAAAGTCAAGGTTAGAAAGTCGAAGCATGACATGTACGGAAGGTCGTAGAATACCTCGTGTGTGTAGGTTCTGAGAGGAACACCAAACGCCCGAGCCAGACCAAAATCAGCAAGCTTGAGGTTTCCGTCGCGGTCAATCAACAGGTTCTGAGGCTTGAGATCACGGTGCAGGATGCGGTGGCTGTGGCAGTAGCGAATGCCTTCCACCAGCTGAGCCATGAACTTCTTGACCATGGCATCGCCCAGTCCCATGTTCTTGCTCAGCGCAGAACCTTCCGGCAGGGCCTTCCCACGTCCACCCTCGCTCACGGGAAGAGCCTCCATGTATTTCTTCAGGTCCAGGTCGAGGAACTCGAAGACGAGGTAAAGCTTGTGGCCGTCGGCGTGCACGATGTTCAGCAGTCGGACAATGTTGGGGTCGTTCATCTCCTTCAGCAGAGAGATCTCCCGGATAGCGGTGCTTGGAACACCCTCATCCTCGGCCTCTAATCGGATCTTCTTCAGGGCGACGATTCGGTTGGGATGAGTGAGCTCACGGGCTTTGTAAACGACACCGTAGGTTCCTGCATTGCACAACCAGAAATATTAGACATCGACCCAGTAGGGGTATTCTCCGCCAAGATAAGAAGCTGAAGGTGCAGAAGTATGATTGAGGACAACTTGTGGGACCACATACCCTCTCCGATTTTCTCGATCTTCTGATAGTTCTCCATTGTTGGCAGTAAACTGACCCGTTTCGACAAACTGGTTTCCCACACAGTGATTCTATAACGATAAATTCGAAATCCAAGAGGTGAGACACCGTCAAGCTGTGGTCAAGCCCACCGACACGCGGGGTACAGGAAACAGGAGTGTGTGTGTGCACTGCACTGCACGGCGACGGCGTTCCTGTTGCCGGGGGAGGGAAGAAAGAGAAAACAATGGTTGGCGTCAAGCAACGGCGAGGGAGGGAGGAGAAGGGCCTCGTGAGGTGCACGGGCTGAAAGGGATAGGAAGAAAGGAGCCGATCTGGGGGGTCGAGAAGAGAATTGGTTTGGCCTGGCACTTCAATCGAATGTCGACTTTACTTACCTACTTACCCTGGAACTTACCTTACCTGTTGGAGTAGCGAGGAATGAATCGACTGAACTGTCGTCTTTTCATTCATCCCTGCTGGTGGGGAAGCCAAAGGCGGTCAGTAGCCGCCGTACACAAACAAACCCAAAAATCCGCGCGTGGCCCCGAAGGCGGTGAGCGCGTCCCCAGTTGATGCCCGCCTTTAACTTTTTTTCGGGGAGACGGTTTCAATCTTTTGCCTAGTATGCTCTTTGTTACCTTCTTTTTGTCGAATAGATTTGGATCTTTCTTTTTTTTTTTTTCGGAAAAAGCAGTCTTGTCCTCTATGCGACATTGATTCGCTATCCTCAACATTTATGACTGGGTGAACCATCGATTTGCATTTCCGAAAAGCGATCTGAACTGTCATAGCAGCACACATGCAATAGTGCAGCCTTGCAGATCCACAAGAAACTAACTTTGTGACGCAGTCCAGTCATAAGTCAAAAAGAGATCTAGTTCGACTACACGCGAAGAAGGGAACAAAAACACAGGGAAGAGTGAGAAAGCAGACACAGACAAGAAAAAGAGATATGGCACAAATAAAGGACCTGAATGCCCATGAGCGACCTCCGGAGGCTGTCAAGCAACGCTATAAGCAATACCAAAAGTCCACGCTCGCAGACATAAACTCGGATGGTAGCATTCTGGACCTTCAGGCGCTAGACGCTGGCCGGCTCCCGGAGGATGTTTCACTCACGCATTGGATCCCCGGCAAGGATCTTCGGCCTGTATTCGATGAATTTCTGGAGACAAGCAAGGATAATGCGGAGGGATCCCTGAATGCGAAAGATATCCCTGTCTTCTCTCATCGCTCTGTGACCGGTCAGCATTATACACCACCATCTAGCGCTTTTTTTCTTATCTCCCTCCCTTTTTTTCCCTTCTGTCTACTCAGCAGGGGCGAGAAAGAAGGGGAGGGAACCCCAAAGAAAGCATCTATTGTAGAAACGAAAAAAAAAAATAATCCTGGTCTCCTAACGGGCGCATGTAGGACTCCAAATGATTCCCTCCCTCCTCCCACCGGCCGTACAAATAGAACTCCTCTCGCGCCTCTTCCACCGCGACCTATCAAACCCAAGACACAAGACCAACCTCCACCTGCACTACGAGCTCACGTATCCCCGCGCCGGGGATGCTGTTGCTGCTGCCTCAACGAGCGATTCCAGCGTAGAAGACACCCCTCACCCTCCCTCCTTCTTTGCCGACGACCCAGCGCGAGTCATCCACCCGAGAGACCCCAGCGTGCACAAGCCTCTCGCCGTGCAGAGCATCCTCACCAAGAAACTGCGCTGGGTGACGCTGGGCGGCCAGTACGACTGGACGGCCAAGGTGTATCCGGCGGAACGGCCGCCGGCGTTCCCGCCGGACATCGAGAAGCTGCTGCACACCATGTTCCCGGAGACAGAGGCGCAGGCGGCGATCCTGAACGTGTACTCGCCCGGCGATACGCTCAGCGCCCACCGCGACGTCAGCGAGGAGTGCGATGCCGGCCTGATCAGCATCAGCTTCGGCTGTGATGGCTTGTTTCTGATCAGCCATGATGACGGCGCCGGCTGCGAGATCATCCGGCTGCGCTCCGGGGATGCCGTGTACATGGACGGCACGTCGAGGTTCGCCTGGCATGCCGTGCCGAAGATCGTGCCGGGGACGTCTCCGGCCTGGCTCGCGAACTGGCCTGGCGCGGCGAATGGTTCGGATGCCGCCACCACACGTCAGTATGAGAAGTGGAAGGGGTGGATGGAGGGCAAACGTGTCAATCTGAATGTGAGGCAGATGAGCCTCTCGGAGCCTCGTCAGTGATGGCTGAGATGAGATGCGAAGACTTCCGCTAGGATCATGACACATGCGCATGTTGCATGTGCGGGTCCGCAAATTACGCGGTGCGGCTGGCGATCCCAGTCCAAATCGACCAGTGTGCATGTCACACAAAGCCCTACCGTGGGCTTGCATACCTCTGCCCCCGAAGAGTGCTCATACGGGGTTTGACCGAATGCATTCCCAATGCAATAGAGATACTTTCATCATTCCATCTCCAAAGGGCGGTTCATTCGCATTCGCTCTTTCCCTTGCTCAAGCAAACCACGAAAATATGCAGACAATAAACCACAGGCGGAAGACCCCAGTGACATCACTTGCAGATACTTCAACAATGTACACCTGATCGACTGTAAGGCGATCATCGCTTGCAGCTTATACATATCCAGACAGCACATAGCATTTTCCATTCCTGTACATAGAAGCCCGAGTCCTCAACCCAAATGGTCTAACCCAATTAGTAGCAATGAGATTAAAAGTAACATGTCATCACAGAGTAAATACAAGAATTTAGCAATCATTTTCGGCGTCTACCACCCCTCCAAGGGTGTCAATCTGACCCGCACACCGTCCCGCGGACTTACAGTTGCACCCTCGCGGAGCTCGAGCTCAGCGTCCGGATTCTCCAACTCGAACTTGAAACGACCGACAAAGGCGGCAAGCATACATGCCAACTCGGATTTCGCGAAGCCCTGCCCGATGCAACTCCGGGGCCCATGTAGGAACGTTAAGAAGGCGTAGTTACTGGTGGCTCCGCCGGTATTGGCCATTCCGGGTCCCAGCCAGCGCTCAGGGTTGAACTTATCGGCATCCGGGCCCCACAGTTCCTTGAGGTGGTTGATGATAGCGGGAAACAGGAAGATGAGTGTGCCTTTGGGGATAGGTTGGCCGACGAGAGAGGTGTCACGGTTCGCCACGCGGATGGTAGCTGGGGCGGAGGGGTGGAAGCGGAAAACCTCATTGCAGACGGCGTGCAGGTAGGGCAGGCTATCGAGAACCTCGGCTGAGACAGACTCTGGATTGTCCACGGAGATGGAGGGTAGATTGGAACGAATCTCTTCTCGGAGGTGGGTTTGCACCTCAGGGTACTTGCACAGAGCGTAGATGCACCACTGGATGGCGGTCGAGGTGGTTTCGTGTCCGGCCGCAAGGAAGGTCATCATTTGGTCGACAAGCTCCTCATCTGTGAAGCTGCCGCTTTCGAGTGCTACGGACATAATGTCAACCCCATCCTTCGCGTTGCTGGCTTGCTCTTGGTCCCGCAAGTCCTTGGCCTCACGGAGCATCTGCAGTGCGACAGCGCGGATATACTCGGCACCCTCGCGGATATATTTGTTCCTCTTCAAAGGCAGTTTGTGGACCCATGTTGGCACTCCCATCACGAGGCCCAGGAGGAATAGAACCCGCTCCAATTTGGAAGGCGGCGCACCGTTAATCCTACCGTACTGTCTGGCCAGCTCGTTGGTGGGGTCGCGCAAGGAATTGAAATCGCGGTTCATTCCGGCGAGACCGATTATGTCGAGTGTGGCTCGACTTGACCAGGTTGCCACGCGAATCACGTTGTCTGAATTATCCTCACGAGCTCGTAGATCATCCTCAATGCATTGCACCATCTCGATGCTTTTCGACCAGAAGATCGAATACAGGTTCTTAATATGACGGTAGGAAAAAGCCGGCATCAAATTCTTTCTCTGGTGCTGTTTTCAGTCAGCTTGGAAAGGACATGTGATTTCTGCCCTTGTTGTGACACTTGCCTTGTGCTCGGCGCCTTCTACTAGCAGCACCCCCTTTTGGCCGGTGAGACGTCCCAGAGATTCCCTGACTAAGGCTGGCTTTTCGAAGTCATAGACCTTGGTCACCAAAATCTCACTCAGTCCCTTGGGATTGGTCACGGTCAACCGTTCCAAGTTACCAGTCATATAGTAGCGGATCAGACCATCATTTGGGATTTCTTCTAGCCATTGAGCCAGTCGCTTCCAGTCATGCCTCAGAATCAAAGTGCTAAAGTTGCCACGAAGCCATGATCGACCCTAGTGGAACATGTAAGAACGCGTTCAAATCGATGAGATAGATACACATGAAAATGCCGAGAAACTCACGGACGGGCTCGGAATCTGCTTCAGAGGAGTCAAGAATTCCGGATAGAGAAATACTCGGTACACAACTCTGCCAATGGTGGCCAAGGCGGACAGGTAGAAAAACGTTGGCCACGTCGCTTTAAAGTAGGCGTATGCAGCAAAGGCGATATAGACCGGTGTCCACGGTATGCCAGTCATTCTGTAAAGAATGCTGGGCTGGGAGGAGTGGCTTTGTCCAGTTGACAGAGGATGGGTGATGTAGTAGCAGACCAAATGGGAGCTTGTTAGAAATATGGAATGTTGTGCAGGGCCGACTAGTGGTCGCGTTGCGCTGTTTGACGAATGTCAGATATTAGTATCATGCTGATCAGTGAGTACGGCTATTTATAACATCGCATCGATGGAGAGACTCCCGGTCGGCACGACATCCTCTCGGAGATGATTGGGCGAAGTTGGAGCCGAGACATGCAAGGTATGAAAAGGAAGCCCGATCGATGACACGCGGTTTCAAGGGGGAGTTGCAGACTCGCGAGTCCCAAGTCTACCTAGAGTGAAGTGGATCACCAGGATCCAATGGTCCATTTCAGGCCGTGACCTCATCGGGATTCGGCGATAAATTAATGATTAGTTATTGGTCAACCTCCACGTGGGGGGTGGCTTCCGCACAGCTTACCGGATTGGGAAGGATCAATTGGAGGCTGAGGCCGACTTCGCTTCCCTCACCTGCTACACTTCATTCTGTCGTCTTAGGATGATAAGTTCTTCCTCTTTTCCACTTCCTTCCTCTGCATCGCCTGAACATGGGTGGAAATGGTTGGAAATGCTCAAGACTCAGCTCCCGCACTTCCTATCGCGTCAATGGCTCCCTCCGATCCCGACTTAACGCCGCCTTCAAACCGCTTTTGACACATCCGCTCGTTGGGCGGTTTGCTCGTCGCCCCGAGGCACGAAATGCGTCATAAGGATAATTCAACAAAGCAAGTTCAAGGCTCTTGCTTCACTTAAGTCAGATGAGCGCCGCGTGTCCTACCAGCGACCCAGCGACCTGTGCTTGTTCCAGTTCCAGTGTTGCGAGGTGCTTTGGGCAATATTGGAAACATAGAGGTAGTTGCCTAGTTACCCCGTGCTAGGGTGGACTATAAGTATGGAAGAGAGTCCCTATGGCTGGGAGGGAGCTCTGCGGGGAGCCAAAGAATACGAGCCATTTCATTGTTCCAGCTAGCGCCTTGGATCTATGTTTTGCTTCGTTCATCCTCCACCAAATCACAACAGTTAGATCTGTCGATACTGAATCCTGTTCAGAGCACGATCTCATCACAGCACTCAACTGCATGAACTGCACGACCGCTTGGTCAATGATACGACAAGAGTGACACAATGGATTATCAATCAGCCGAGGTTGATCAATTGTCCCGCTATCGTCATCGATTTACCCCTCCCGCTCCAGTCGTGATTTATAAGTCGAGGATCGCCTTGTTCTCCCCACTACTCTCAACACGCAAGCCTGACACCTGTCAAAATCCTGTTTCCCAGAATGCCTCAACCGAACAAAGCCCTCATCCTCAGCAAAGTTCCCAATGGGGCGCCCGTCCCGGGGACCGACCTCACCGTTGAACAACGGGAGATTGACCTCGACCAGCAGCTGCCTCCGGACAGCGTCCTCACCAAAAACCTTTACGCCAGTCTGGATCCCTACATGCGCGGTCGGATGCGTGACCCCAGCATCAAGAGCTACAGCCCCCCTTACCAGGTTGGGAACCCGATCACCGCCTATAGCATTGGGCAAGTGATTCGGTCGGAGAACCCCAAATATAAGAAGGGTGATATTATCTGGTGTATTCTCAAGATCGAAGAGTACAGTCTTGTCACCAAGGAGGAGCTGGCATGGCCCCAGACTCAGAAGATCGATGTGAAGCCTGGACTGTCGCTGTCGCATTACGCCGGAATCCTTGGAATGACGGGGTTGACGGCTTATTCTAGTCTGTATGAGATCGGGCAGCCTAAGAAGGGAGAGACCATCTTTATCTCCTCGGCTGCCGGAGCGGTAGGACAGGTGGTCGGCCAGCTGGCGAAACATGAGGGTTTGAAGGTGATTGGCAGCGTTGGTGACGATGATAAGCTGCGGTTTATTACTGAGGAGTTGGGCTTTGATGCAGGATTCAACTATAAGAAGGAGAAGCCCGGCGACGCCCTGGCTCGACTGGCACCTAACGGGATTGACATCTACTACGAGAACGTTGGTGGCGAGCACCTGGAAGCCGCCCTCAACGCCATGAATCCCTTCGGCAGGATTAGTATGGCTACCCTCCTACTTTCTAGGTCCCATCGCTGACACGTCGTGCAGTTGCTTGTGGCATGGTCTCGCAATACAACTTGAAGCCCGAGGAGGCCTTTGGAGTCAAGAACTTAATGCTTGTGGTGGGAAAGAGAATCAGGATGCAGGGATTCATCGTCGGAGACGAGAATATGGGACCGAAGTATGCGAAGGAGAGAAACGAGCGGGTATCTACGGTAAGTGAGTTGACTGAGTTATGAGGACCGATTCTGACGACAGCTGTGCTACAGTGGCTACTCGACGGCAGTATCAAGACGAAGGAAGACATCACCACTGGCATCGAAAATGGACCCGAAGCCTTGGTCTCGATGCTTCGTGGCGGGAACCGCGGAAAGGCTATCTTGAAAATCGCTGATCCTGAATGAGTGCGAACTTTACAAGATGGGACAGTATCTATGCATCAAGCCCACACCGGCCCTATCACTCCGATCATCATATATCTTGTCTCCAGTACATAATACAAATGAGTCTCAGATATTATTAAAATAAGACCGTATCCTGCTACTAGAGCTATGACCAGAAGAGCTTGTCTATGGTGACCTTACAACCATGCCACCCTCTGCTGTAGAGTAGTAGCTGAGAATTCCGCCCCAAAGAGATGATATACACTACAAAAAAAAAGGCGCATAGCTCAACCATCACCAATCCAGCCCCCTCTTCCCCCCTGCACGTGCCCAGCGCGGTGGGTGGAACCGCCATACGATGCCAAACGAGGCGCTAAAACTGGGATCCGACGGCCCGGCCAAACCTTATCCACCGTGCGTTACACAATCGATCGCGTGGGCCCACTTTGTATGAATGCTGAACTCCTGAGGGGGGTGGGGGGTAGGGGGGGGGGGATATAAGAAGTCTCTCAAGACAATCAACCCCTATCCTGTCATAATAATCAGGTTGTTGCTCAGATCCGTCGGGCACCGCTAGGTTTCCCCGTAGTGTTGATGCGAAACAACTCATCCGCCTCGAGCAGGCAGTAATTCTAATCCCCAGTGGCATGGTAACTTGCTTTGTCTCAGGATGTTTGCGCTGTTGAGGGGCTCTTGAGGCTTGTAGCTGAACTCTGACACCGTTGGCTCAGATTCAGAGCTGAGGGCTCTACTCTAGCTTTGGCATGGTATCTCTGAGCGGGGTCTTGGTATCTTGGACGATAGAGTTATTCTTGGAGCGAACGGGACGAAGTCGCAGTTACGTTGCGGAAGTCCCCAGGCGAGTATTGAAGGAGTATAGATCTTTTGATACATTGTGATGTATGGCTTTCTCTTTCTTTTCTTTTCCCTCTCTTTTCTTTCGAATTTCTTTTGAAGTTCTTGTTCGCGTTATGCGCTAAGTGGCTCATATATCCTTTCAGCTCAGTATCTATGAAGCTGGTCAGCGGACGAAGACTATGTACTGTACTGTATAGCGGACATGGAATCGTGCCCTAGGATACCTGCTATAACATTGTCTCCTACTTTTTTCTCTGTGAAGCTTTATCCGTTGTGGAACGAGATGGTTGGAGCAGGAAGTCTCGTGTAGAACTGCGATTCAGGGTTGAGCGTCGCTTAGGAGAGATCTATCTAAAATGCACAGTGGGACTTGAGCCTATCTCGATGTCGTAGTTTAGGGTTTGAATTGTCTACGGTACTGTAAAGCTGATCAAGTAAAGTACTCTGAGTTTAGTCTTCTGCCATGCCCGCCTTTCCAGGTTTTCTTTCTACCAATACACCATGAAACAACGTTGACAGTTATCCAGCACTGTCGTTCCTTTCCTTTGTATGCATCCATTTGATAGCATGTGACTTCGAGATATTCATATCCCTCGCTCCACGTTCCTACAGCGGAACTCACAATCCTTACGGGGCAGAGTTGATGAACCAGGCAACAATCTGCCAAAAACCAGGGAATATGTCATTAGCTCTGGTGGTTTTGCATTTATGCCTGCTTTCACAGTTCCCAGGCCATTTTTGGCCCTCCGTGTTTCTTGAGTTTCCTGTCGGCTAGATACACCATTGGGTTCCGCAGAAAGTCAACGGCCGCTGTGGGAGGGTCATGAGTCGTCAGCTGTCTGGGTTTCATAATCTATTACAAAACAAAAAAAAAAGAAAATGAACGTGAAAAAAGAAAGAAGCATGAGAACAAAATGAGGCAAAGGTGAAGAGAAAGACTTACCATTTGCAACCAGCTCAGGCTTTTCCAGAGCCATGTGCAGCCCCTCATAGCCCACTTCCTCAATACAGGAGGTAGGGAAGAAAGAGCGGATGGCTTCGGCCCCCTTGCCCTCGGGGATGTAGTAGCTATCACCCGAGCGCAGGAACAACGCCGGCCCGTTAAACCTATTCGCATCGTCCTCTCGGAAAGGAAATTCCCCCATGGCGTCGCGGGCCTCCCACAGAATATTCTGCGGAATCCGCGGCCTTACATATGGGTGATCGTCGTGCTTCTCCAGGTTCCGCATGAGCCAAGGTCTCATTCCTGCATTCTATTTGGGGAGGTTAGATCAGGAACATGTAACAGAAGATAAAAAACTAGATCAAAGAAAGGAAGAACAGTCCCGACGCTTCTAGAGAGCACGGAGAGGTAACTGACCCGGTTCCAATAGTACATAACTCTGCGCGCTTCCCGGAGCTCGGTAATGCGCATTTTGAGGATTTGCCGATAGGCGTGGAGCCATTGTAAGTAAACCGGCGGAAGGGGTTTCCAAACAGGCGAATTGTCAATGGAAACAATATTGGCTACGAGGTTTGAATCGTAGAGGGCTAAAGTCATGGCTGTCTTGGCTCCCCTGATGGCTGATCGTCAGTAATCACATGGTGCAAATGTACCCTGCTTCGAAGTGTGAGGTGAGCCACTGGTGAGGCTTACATCTGATTGCCGACAAGTGATACATTTCCAAGGCCGTTCTCTTTCATGAGTTCTCGGACATCCAGCGCCAGTCTGAGGTAGTCATGCCTCCATTTGGTGCCAGAATCGCCATGGTTGCGAAGGTCCTGTTTCCTCGGGCGTCAATTGCCTGGGCACGAAGCTGAAGAGCTCGGTGTTGTCAGCACTTACCAGGTTATACACATCTCGCTTGAGTTCGGTGGCTAGGATTCTAGGTGGGGCGATTTAGTGAGCATGGCGTAACATATTGACAGAAAAGAGGCCAAAAGCATCCATACTTGCTAATCGGACGGAGTTCTTCTCTACAGCCGAGGAATCCATGAAGAACTATAATGGGGTTCGGTGAGTCACCAAGCTTATCGGGATGTCCCTTGTAGACATCAAAAGCTATCTTTGGTCTCGGGTTTTTGGTGTCGGTACGAATGGACCTCTGGAACGGCATGAATTTCAAACATTGTTGGGACATCACGGATCTTGGCGACGGTGATAAGAGTGAAAACATTGTTGTGAGTGGCAGCCCTTGCCAGGCGACAGCCGCTGAAGTTGGTATTGAGTCTCAAGTATAGTCCATGCGAGCTACCCAGAGCTTCCACTTCTAGAATTAAGATTGGTGAAGCTTATCGACGGATGGATGCTTTACATCTGGTTTGCATCTGGTTTGCATCTTCAGTCTTGACTGCGCTAGACTGTAACTGGCTTAGTGCTTCGGTAGTCATCCTAGCTACTACTATAGATATACATACTACAGTACTGACTAAAGTATGCTGAGGTGAAAGGTATGTGCAGCAGTTCTTGTACAATAGGAGAATTGTTGCCTGGCTTCGAGGTGAACGTTTCAAAAGACAATTAGAGGGCATAGTTTCAGGTTCCTTACAGTTTGCGCCCTGAGAGCCTACGGGGAGAATAACAATTCTATCCTCGCAAGATCCTACTTGTACTTGAGTAAAGTACGCAAGGACCTGCCTAACTCAGTTGCTCAACCTGATGCGAGCGTCTACGTCATCCATGAGTCTTGAGCCTGTAGCAAGGTCGATCCCATACCTGTTGTTCTCGGTTAGCCAGCCTGTCTAATGCCGACATGTCGAACATCGTTCTGAAGCCAGAACGAAATTGGACCAGAGGTCGAATGCGCGGCCTCAACAGGAACCTAATGGATTCACAACGGTTAACCGGCACCGGCACACGAGGTCAAACGAGGATCGAGACCAGAAGCTCTTGCTCATTACTTGCTCCGCAGACTCCCGCCAGTCTTGCTGATCTCGCCTGCAGGGAAGCGACGGCTAGCCCGGACACCGAGTCTTGGATGCTGAAATCACTGACCCAATGCGAGACAATCCGATATCATCGTCAGGTGGCGGATTGTAGGTGCTGACAGAGACTTGATCCTTGGCTGGCTGCTGTAATGAGTCTGATACGCCTGGTCACACTCCTGCTCGTATTGTCTGTTATCTGTGAAACATTTGAGACTGTTATCCAATTGAGTTCTGCATGGTTGGTACGAGCTCCGTGTTTACTGCACACAGAAGGCTGGACGTCGGTGGGGGGAATGTCCCAATCAGTAAGCATTCACAGAGCGCATCAACCTGGATATCGGCTTGTCCTGGATCATGCCTTGCCGAAATGTCAGGATCTGATGCAAATCCAGGCAAGGACTGGGCGCAAATCCTCGAAAGTGGAGGTGGCGCGCCAGATTCGAATTGGTGGAAATTCGCAAACTAAATGAACAGTCGACGGATCTGTGAGCAGATGGTGTCAGTATGGTTGTACGGAAAGATGCGACGTCGGGGTAGGTTTGGAGGTCTGAGGGGATGATCTCCATGGGCAGGTGAGACCGTGACTCGTGAGAGGCGGACTGAATCTGGGGATGGATTGGAATTCATGGGGGCAGAAATCGGCAATTGGAAGGGAAACCTCGCTGCCGGGCCGTTCGGCAATTGCTGGAAAGAGGAAGAGCCGGGGCAGCTGAGTCACCATACTCGCCAGCTCTCATTGGATGCGATTGTCGAGCTCGCCTGTAAAGAAGTGGGCACTAAACCACATTGAGTGTAGCGTGGCCCGGAAAACGGGCGCTGGGGAGATTCGGAGTCTTGTTAATAATTCCTCTCTCTGTGCTGCAACCCCAGACAGAAGCATCATTATTGTATGTATGGAGTATGTATGGAGTATGCATGGAGTATGTCGTTTGCTCCTCATGAACCAGGATGAAGATGCACCTGATACTTGGCCATTCAATTGAAAGCTGATCACGGTTCCACATGTTCCTGTTCCCCCTCATTTCTCCCCTCTCTCGGTGGCTCTTCATGCGGAGGCTTGGAGGCTTGAGATGCCAGAGGATTTACCACCCGGCCCACCCCTTCACCCACCTCTCCCCCCTTAGACTATCTGTGACTCTGACTCTTCGCTCTCCGCCCTCTCCGGTCAAAAATGGGGATGGCCAAATGTTGGTTCATCCCCATTCCGCGGTGAATGGCAGGTTTTTGTCTGGTGGAGTATGCTCGCCTTGGGGGATGTCGCGTCCTGCCGCCAATCCCGGCCTCCCCCCAGCCAGACAGAGCTCTTACAAAATAATCATGTTTGACCCAGCTTCGTATCATCCCGCTCTCGGCCGTGATTCCCCAGTGCGTCGAGATCGGAGGAGGTTCGGATCGATGGTGTTTTTGGAAGGGAGGTGTTTGTGTTTGCCATTGAACGCATTCTTATATCAATCGCAACAGCTCCTCCCCCATTCCTGACTCTCCCCTGTGGCAAACCAATTCGTTGCCCCAGATTTTGTACGGTACCAAATTTGGCTCCTACATCGGATATCGGCGCGTCCAGCCAGCGCAAATTTTTATCAAATTAAATTCTGCCTTCTTTGCCTGTCTTTCTTTCCTTCTTGCTTCCTTTCTTTTGCTATCTTTTGTATCACCATTCTAGACAATCATGGCATTTGCGCAGGCCAGGACTCCCCTTGAGGTGGTCATCGTTGGGTAGGTTATTCATTGCCCGCAGTCATGTTACAGTTGCCACTAACATCATTCTATAGAGCGGGTATGCCAAGATGATTCTTTTGGCAAAAAGATTGCATTGTCGCTGACGGACGCAGGCATTGGCGGCATGGCCGCAGCCCTAACTCTGGGTCTACGAGGACACCAGGTCACAATCCTCGAATCGGCACCTAAGGTATGCCAGTGATGATATAGACCTGGTCATTTTGAGAGTTTGCTCTAACAAGAAGGCAAAATAGCTTATGGAAGTTGGAGCGGGCATCCAAGTCTCTCCTAATATGCTCCGACTGTTTGATCGTAAGCATCAGTTCTCGGGCAGTCTGAGTGCTGGAGCTGACACAGGACTCTAGGCTGGGGTGTCTCCCCCTCCATTCACGCCAAAGATGTTGCACTCGAGCATATCCACGTTCGTCGGTGGCAAGACGGCTCGTTACTAGGCACGATGCCCGTCAACAAGACTTACGGTCAACAGGTGGTCATCCACCGCGCTGATCTCCACAACGCACTCATTGACCAAGCGCTGGCGCTGTCAAATGTGGAACTGCGCGTCAACTCCACGGTCACCGATGTTCAATTCGACCAGGCAGCGGTGACGCTCGCGGACGGCACCGTCGTCAAGGGCGACGTTGTCATTGCCGCGGACGGCATCAAATCCGGCATCCGGGGTCAGCTCCTCAACGACTACTCCTGCAAGGCCATCCCCACGGGTGATGCTGCCTACCGGATCATGCTTCCTCGCAGCGCGCTCGAGAGTGATCCCGAGTTGAAGGCCCTGATGGACGAGCCCCAAGCCACGCGTTGGCTCGGTCCCAATCGCCACATCATCGCGTACCCGGTACGCAACCACGAACTCTACAATGTCGTGCTGCTGCACCCTGATAACCACGGCGTCGAAGAGTCCTGGACGACAAAGGGCTCCAAGCAGGCCATGATCGACAACTACCGGGGCTGGGACAGTCGCGTGACGAAGCTCATCGACCTGGTGCCCGACGACGAGGTTCTCGAGTGGAAGCTTTGCCTTCACGCGCCCTTGAAGACCTGGATCCGGGGCAACGTCGCTTTGATCGGCGATGCCTGCCATCCTATGCTGTACGCCATGGCCCCAAAATATCCCACACTTTCCCCCTTTCCCCAAACCCCCCCAAACCACTAACTCCTAGATACAGACCGTACGTCGCCCAAGGCGCTGCCCAAGCCGTCGAAGACGCCGCCGCCCTGGGCATTCTCCTCTCGACCATCCCCTCGCGCGCCGCCATCCCCACCGCGCTGCAAGCCTACGAGCGATCGCGCAAACCCCGCGCCGAGAGCGTCCAGCAGTCCGGCTCCGAGAACCGCATCACCCTGCACTTCCCCGACGGGCCCGACCAACTCGCCCGCGACGAACAGTTCCGGTCCTCGCTGACCAGCGGCTCCAACCCCGATCGCTGGTCCGATCGGGAAACCCAGAAAACGCTCTGGGGCTGGGACGCCGAGAAAGCCGCCCTGGCCGTGTGGAACGGTAAGCCCGCCGCCCGCAAACAAACCTCTCTCTTCTCACGGACACTAACACCTCATACCTAGAAATGCACGGCGATGCCGTCTCAGAAGTCCGGCACCATCTCTAATTCCCCTAAATTTTTCATCGATTTCCCTCATCTTCTCTCAGAATGATGGGAAAATGCTTCTTCAACCACGGATGATACCTAATGTCTTCAACGGCCTTAACTTTTAATGATTCAACCTCGTTTTTCTTCATGGATGTTTGGATTCCTTTTTTCCAGCGGATTCTCAGCGACTTCAACTCAACTTGATTTGTCGTATACCCCCTTTTCTTTCCTTCTTGTCTTGCTTATCTGGGTTTTGTGGGCTGGTCTAAAGAAGTGTTTGTGTGGCTCGGCTCTGGGCTGGATCTCTGTACTGTATATAGATTATAGACTTGCTGTGCTTCGTGGCCTATGCTGTTGCAGTGAACCTGTGCATCTTTATGACGTATTTGCCAAGTGATTGCCCGGTGCGGTGTATCAGACATTTCCAAAAATGAGTGATCAAATGGCGGTGCCATTGTACTAAGCTGTTGCTCTCAAGACGAACAGCGTATATAATAATCTATCAGGACTATACCTAAATTTAACGCAGCTAATCACAGCGGATGGCGGCTAAAAACATACACAACAATGCCGATACCGACTCGTCGACAACCCTCACCAGATCCGCTTGGCGACCATCTCATACCGCTGCACGTGATCCAGATGCAGCTCCTCCTTGCCACCAGCCTTCGAGTCCTTCTCCTCCTTCGCTTTGAGTCTGCGCAGACCATCCGGGTCATCAGCGTAGATCCACCGCCGGTGATCGTCGTTCACCTCGACGACGCCCCATCCGCCGACTCGGCGGCTTCCCTCGACAGCGAATTCGCGGGGGCGGGACTGTGCTACTGCTGCTGCTGCTGGCGCCGCAGCCGGGGCAGTGGTGCCAGGGGGAGGGGCGGGATCGTTTGTGGTTGTGGTTGCGGGCCCTGATCCGCCGGCGGTGGAGAGGGATGAGGCTGAGACGGCGGCGAGGTGAGTTTGTTGTTCTGCCTCGCGCAATTTCATGGCCTTGTACCGGGAGCGGGCGAGCGCGAGGAGGAGCATGCCGAGCAGTAACTTGAGGATCAGGAGGACGACGTAGCCGGTCAGGATGAGGACGATGGTGAAGATGTAGACGGATGAGGCTGGGGTGGGCATGGTGTTGGCGAGCATCTGGCGGAACCAGGCCCCGGCGTAGGCGGTCGAGGTGGGGATGAAATTCTGGAAGGTGAGCGGGGGAGGGGAGGGCATGGGCGCGGGGACGTATTGGCTGTGGATGGCTGTGAGGGACGTGGCTTCGACCGCGGTGGACGAGGCGGGCTGCTGGGGGAGCAAGGCGGCGATGAACATCTGGTAGGTCTGGACGCTGACGCGGAAGAAGAGGCAGGAGAGTGGGATCACGGGCAGTCCGAGCCGGCGCATGAGGTTTTGGTCCGCGAACGCATTCGTGTAGTAGTCCTTGGCCAGGATGTCCAGGAAGCGACCGTAGATGGCCGGACGGGTGTTGTTGAACTTGTTGATGTACGCGTGCTTGAGCCAGTCGACTAGCATCTCTGAGCCCAAGACGACGAGGAAGGGTCCTAGGACTTGCGCCAGCGTCGGGAGGTAGGAATTGGCTTGGCTGAAGGAGGCAATGATGGATGACGGGACGATCGTGAAGGCCTGCGGGAGAATCGAGGATGCAGTTCGTGGCGGGGTTGATAGCGGCGTGCTGTTGGTGCTGGTTGAAGTAAAGCTAGAGCCCAGTCCACTGAAAATATTGAATGCCCCGGTTTCCACAATGTTGCGCGACGCGATGATCGTCAGCATGAGCCAGAGTTGGAAGCGTTCCACCACGTCCGCGCAGGTGAGCTGAAAGAGGTTCTCCTTTTCGAATTTCTTGAAGACCGTGGATTTGATCTCGACAAATTGATTGGAGAGCAACAGGGTGATTAGCGCATTGGAGTAAGAGTTCACCGCGACGTTCAGCGTCATCACCTGATAGAACAGTGCGGTCGAATGAATGACTGTGTAGGCTAACGCCAGCAAGAAGAGCCCAAACGGCCGGAAGACCTTGCTGCGGCCGTCGGGTCGCCGCTCCAGCGCTTCACGCGAGAATAGGCACTCAAGCACGTCCTGACCAATAGCGCCAAACAGTCTATCGCTGACTTCTAGCACATTGTAGATCACGTACAACTTGATGGCTGCCTGTCCCCGAATCCAGTGATACATCCGGCTCGCATCGAAGCGCATCAGAACGCAGCAGGTAGCGATCATGAGCAAGCCCTTGAGGATGTCGGCCTTATCGTCGGGCATGAGGGCTGACGGGATACTCTTCTGCCGGCGATGCTGTGCTCGGTGTCCATGAGATCGGTGCTTTTTCCGAGATTCAGTTGCCTTAGCGCGGGGATCTCGTTCCCCGGATGCTGTTTCGCCTTTGTGTGAGCGTCCCACGTGCGGTGGCTCGTCGGTAGATGCGGTCCTGTTGCGCCTGTGCCATACCCGACCCACGCCTTTGATCACAAAACCAGACACGTACCGAAACTCCATACCCAAGTTCAGAATCCATGACTCAACAAGTATGTACAAAGCCTTCAGAAACCGGAGCGGAAGAATGGTAAAAGAATGCAACCACGCATCTAGACATGCCAATATACCGAACCAAAGTACCTGCTCTACCGCCGGCGGCAGCATCAGGAAGTTCATGAGTCTTTCAAGCTTGACTCGAGAAGATTCGTAAGGGAAGTCAGTCATTGCAGAGCGGTGAATGTACAGCGGTGATGGCCGACCCGATGCCAGCTCTAACTGGAGGTAAGTCGGAACGGATAGAGGCGGCAGAGGAATATTCGGGGGCATCGGTGAAGGCAAGGCCTGTTCTTTCATCTGTGGAGATGGTTCAAGGTGTTTCGAATCTGATTCCCGAGCGATCGAAAGGCGATCTTGTTTTGTGCGAGACGCCCATGTCTGGGCCAGCCGGTCATTCGTCGCCGGCAAGGTCTGTCGGCGGGAGCTAGGTGTTGACACGGCCCGTGAGTTTGGTGGTCGATTTCGCGAAGAGGATGACGCAGGTGTTCTCCCAGTCGAGAGGGTCGAGGTGTCGATGGAAAGATCCTTGGGCAGACGGAGTCTAGGTAGAGTATCGGATGGAAATTTAGTTTCATCCAGAGACGGCAGGCTTGTGGGCTCTGGCGTTTCAAGCTGCGTAGCTGCTGCATGCGTTCCATCTGATACTGCCCGTCGTCCGCGTTCTGATTGCTCCGGTGGCGCTGCACGATACGGGATAGACTGGGGTGAGGATGTGAGTTCCTGCATCTTGGCGGGAGACAATTTCAGCACCCGGTCTGGGTCCTTGTCGTGGTTCCTGGAAGGCGATGTGTCTCGCGACCACTCGGTGAGCGTTGATTGCACCGCGGAGCCTTCGAAGACATCCACTAGGGATGTTCTCGAAGTTGTGCGACGGCCTGGGGTCTGAGGGGGCTCCTCCGAGTGCTCAAATACCATCCCTAGCACCTGATCCGACGCCAGCGCGAACTGACCGCTTTTCCGGTGGATGCAGGGGGTGTGTTGGCTGGGTAGACCGTTGAGATCGTGTTCAGAGCTGTCACCGACTCTATCTGGCAGCAAGTTGGCCTTAGAATTAATCCGGTTGGCGTAAGTTGCTGTAGCGTCCGGCGCCGGCGTTTGTCCGCATTGCGCATCGGCGCCCACCACGGGCCGTCCGTCATTCTCCCCGGGTTGATTCACACCACTTGAGGCTGTTTGTCGCTTTGTTTCTGGTGAATTTGGACCTTGGAGTCCAGCGACTAATGGATTATCGGCTTCTGGGCTTTGTGGTGTTACTGGTGTCCTTTCGTGCTGAGACGAGCCTGCCGCCTCGCCGTTGACGGATTCCCGCCCTCGTCCGATGTGACTTTCATGCATGCCGTCTATATTGACTACCGTCGTGAAGATCTTGAAAGAGCCGCGAGATCTGCGTCGTCTTCTGTGCGGCGCATTGAGGAAACCAGGGTCGCAATCGAGGAGGCAAGGACACTATGTCAGCGGTAGCGCTCCGTGCGCGATGCAATCCGTCAACCGTGCTTTAAGGAGGGATCAACTTCATTTCGGGGTCAGATCGTCCAGTGCAACGTCGCTGATTCAGCGGAAAAGGCAGGCCAGGGATTGCGACCGTTGATAATGGGATAAAGCGAGTCAGGGTCTTTGCTGAATGAAAGAACAAGCCAAAGGGAGAGCAAAAGCCCGGGGATAATCATGAGGCGGTCAACAAAGCGGTGGAGTGGGCCTGCTGTCATTGTAGCTCATGACTAAACAAAGTCTTACTTCCCCACAATTTTGGTCTTAAGTCTGAGTATCGTTCTCTTCTGCATACCACTCACGTTTTCTGGTGTTCCTTCCGGTTGATTGATTTGAAAATGAAGATATATCCAGTTATATGCTTAACTTGACTTCTTGAAATGTCATGGCCCCTGAGCTCAACATATTTGTTGCGCTATACTGTCATTGTCCTAAGTCCGCACCTCCTATACTACGGATCTAAAATAAATAACCACCAATAATTCGACTCCCAAGACGCCGTGCCATTATGCTGCCTCAGCAAGCGAACAAAATCATGCGCACCCCTTGAATTAAGAGAACCACAAGCGACACAATATGATTAGATGTGAAAGACCCGCTTACCTCAGCTTCTATAGTAAATAGCCGAGGGGGCGTCTCCTGAGTGTGTCCCTGAGCAGGAGCTGAAAAGCGACGCTAGTCACCTCGCCATCGACGGCAAGCATGGCGTGCTCCTCCACCACAATCACCTTCTCTCACCCCGGTTCTGCCCTGTCATTTGCAGCCATCAACCATGAGAAGGCTTTGGCCACGAGCTCCTCCGATCCAGGGTGTGGCCATGTGGGTACCAATCTAGTGAAGTTGGTTTTTCTCCCCCGATGGTGTCATCGGCTCTTCCGGATGGTTACTGATGGCCAGCCAATACTGTCGTGCAATGGTCATGAAGGCCTGGACATCTTGCGATAAGCGAACTTTTTATCACGTAGCTCCGCATGTCATTTAATGAAGGCGCGCTCGAAATGATTCCGTCGGGTTGGGAAGATTATTATTCTACGCGAGCAGTCATCTCCCCTTCTCCCTCACCCTCGCCCTTGAAGCAGCTCGAGGCAAGGACTTGCTCCACTGTCAACCTGAGACTCTCCTCGTACGAGCACGACTTGGTTAGTTCTGGCAAAAATGACGATTGCGTCGGCCAGCTCAGAGACGTTGAGGGCGGATAGAAATGTGGATGAGACGACCCCTCTGAACCCTGCAGCTTCGGATACAAACGTCACGAATGTATCGGATTACCAAACTGTCTCCAAGGGGCCAACAAGTGATGTCCAAAGCAGCCATGACACGGACGAAGAACGTCCGCTAGTCAGTCCAGCAGAGCCCTCGGAGAACAACAAAGTGCAGGCGTTGGCTAGCGTCAAGACAATTATTGCTGTATTACTCCTGGGTATGAATGAATGACTGACTTGATCATGATTTCGACCAATGCTAACCTATAGCAGGCGAATTCATCTCCAATGCAGACACTACTCTCGTAATGGCTACGACAGGAAAGATCTCGTCTGAATTCGATCGTTTGCGCGATGCCAGCTGGCTGGCCACGGCTTTCACGCTCGGTCTCTGCGCAGCACAACCCATGGTAAGCTAAAATGGTATCTCTACGGCCCAAATGATGCACTGACAGTTGTGGCCTGCTAGTATGGCAAACTGAGCGATATCTATGGCCGCAAGCCGCTGCTGCTCTGGGCATACTTTTTCTTCGGCCTCGGATGTATAATTAGGTGAGTTACATCCCTTGCAACCACGTTTAGGAGAATCGTTCTAACTCAAGGCATTTAAGTGGCATCGGCTCGAGCATGTTGACCGTGATTCTGGGGCGTGCCATCAGTGGCCTGGGCGGTGCTGGAACAATGGCGATGGGTGTGATTATCATTACAGGTGGGATGGACAACCTTAGGGTCAGCCTTGATCACGGTTGCTAAACGCCTCGCAGATATTGTTCCACGGCGAGATGTTGCTCATTGGCGTGCGTATGTCAACATCGCCATGACTCTGGGTCGAAGCGCAGGAGGTCCGATTGGTGGATGGTTAGCAGATACCGTTGGTTGGCGATGGTGAGCATTGAAGTCTACCGCTTGACGCCGTTCCACAGCCTAACTGTTTGACAGGTCATTCCTTCTTCAGGGCCCGCTCACTGTGTTGGCTGCCTTGCTCGTCGTTTGGAAGCTCAAGCTTACAACCCCCACCACAAACAAGGATATTCGCAGGGTCGACTTCCTCGGGACATCTCTCCTCGCCGTTGGCATTATCACTACAACCCTCATTCTCGATCAAGCTGGAAAGGCCTTTGCTTGGGTCTCTCTTACCACTGCTTATCTTGGCACCGCTAGCGTGGCTGCATTCGTTTCATTTATCGTTGTCGAGTTATACGTGGCTCCAGAGCCAATCTTCGACCTGCGGATCTTGCGCCGCACCAACGTGCTTCCCAGTTACCTCATCGGAGCTCTGCAAATTACCGCGCAGGTTGGTATGATGTTCTCAGTTCCCTTATACTTCCAGGTCACATCTCGCGCCTCAGCCACAGTCGCGGGCGGGCATCTTGTTCCCGCAGTGATTGGCAATACGCTGGGCGGCTTGATCGCCGGTGCCTCCATTCGACGAACAGGCCAGTTCAAGGTCTTCTTGATTGTGGCTGGGCTGGTTGCGTCGGTCACTTACCTCCTGCTTTTCCTCCGGTGGAATGGCAACACGGGCTTCTGGGAATCACTGTATATCATTCCGGGCGGGATGGGAACTGGCTTCGCGTCGGCTGCGGCCTTCGTCAGTATGACCACCTTCCTGGTGCCTCAGGAGATTGCCATGGCCACTGGAGGCTACTTTCTGCTGTTCAACTTCGCGATGACTGCTGGTGTGACTGTCACGAACAGTGTTCTGGGAACCGTCTTCAAGCACCAGCTGGAGCAAAATCTAACAGGGCCCGGAGCAAAGAAGGTAATTGAGCCCATGTGCATCCTACTCTGTGTGCTTTCACATATGCTGATTCATGACTGCAGATGATCGAACGGGCTCTGTCTGATACGGATTATATCAATGGGCTCAGTGGACATGTTCATGACATTGTGGCCCGCGGGTACGTTACGGGACTCAAATACACATACTGTAAGTTGCCTTGACGGAACAATATCTGTCTTACATACTTACCGTGTCTCTTCTAGTGTTTGCTCTATCTCTTTCGCTGCTCGGGTCGCTGGTGGGCTGGACAGTCCGAAAGCATCAACTGTAAAAAGACACCCTCACATGGACAAGTAGGAAAACGTTGAGACCGGTCTTCAATGTATTAGAATGAATGAATGAGAAATCTGTTAGAGGTAACTAAGTGAAAGCGGTAGACACCACCGGTAAAGTGATCCATGCCAACCAAGACTCGCAATCGAGGGAGAAAATCCCTCAGAGCCAAAAGAAGCGTCGGAGTTGAATGTGGGGTGATTTGATGTAAGGTTGTTAGTGCTTTTCTGAGGGATGTTCAATCAATTAGGCTTCTTCAACCGTGCCGAGGCTTGGGCCCCTTCATTTCGCTTCCTCCGCACCCCATGCCTCCAATTCGCTCAACACCCCCGGCCATCAGTCTTCTGCAGACAAGGCAATGTCCATCGGGACAGTGGCGGGCGTTCTGCAGCCAATCTCTTCATATTTCGCACCTGCATGATCGGACATAAGGCCACTTTCTGAATGTGATCCATTGGCTAATTCGTGCTTCGGCTGCAGAACCCCTGCTCAATCGGAGTCTGAGCCAATCAACTCACTCATATAAGACCGTTCCTGGCAGCCAACGATGCAAGACAACAGCAGATCATAGCCGCGAGAGAGAAAAGACGGGAACTGCAGAAAATCATCCGGTCATCCGTCCGTCGAGCAATTGAGGACAAGGCCCCAGCTGCTTTGGGCCACTAGAAATGACATATAAGATGGAATTGCCGAAGACCCCAGTGCCGTGGCCGACCACCAGCCCCTGAATCTCCATTCGCCCTCATCTGCAAAGATGAGGTTTTCGGCGCTTCAGACGCTTGTATCTCTGCCTCTCTTTGGTAATCTCGTTCGCGGCCTGTCTGCAGCGGAATGGCGCACTCAATCTATCTATTTTCTCCTGACGGATCGGTTTGGCCGGACTGATAATTCGACAACGGCGACATGTAACACAGGGGATCAGGTATGTCTGGGTCGTATGGCTACCACCACGAGCAATTCCCTGACCTGGCTAGATTTATTGTGGTGGAACATGGCAGGGCATCATCAACCACGTAAGCCCTCCCGCAACGCGAAGGTTCGATCTGAGTCTAATCCGCTTGCGCAGCTGGATTATATCCAAGGCATGGGCTTCACAGCCATCTGGATCTCGCCCGTCACCGAGCAGCTGTCCGCGAACACTGCGGATGGCGAGTCCTACCATGGATACTGGCAGCAGAAGATGTGAGGCACTCTATGGCCCATGACTTCGATACCATAGTTGACTGAGAGGGCAGCTATTCGTTGAACTCCAACTTTGGTACTGCAGATGATTTGAAAGCTCTGTCTGCTGCCTTGCATGAGCGGGACATGTATCTCATGGTCGACGTCGTGCCAAATCATATGGTAGGATTGTCTCGTCCAATTTCGGGCACCCAGCTGACCGGAAATCCAGGGCTATGCTGGCTCAGGAGATAGCGTGGACTACAGCATCTTTGATGCCTTTGACTCCTCGTCGTACTTTCATTCGTACTGCCTCATCACCGACTGGAATGATATCGACCAGGTCCGGACCTGCTGGGAAGGCGATACGATCGTCTCTCTGCCTGATCTGTACACGACGCAGTCGGCCGTCAGGACGATCTGGTACGATTGGATTGAGCAACTCGTCGCCAACTACTCAAGTACAACCTCCATGTCACTTGGCTTTATAGGGACTCTCTGCTGACCCCAACCGCACAGTTGACGGTCTTCGCATCGACAGTGCTCTTGAAGTCGAACCAGACTTCTTCACGGGATACGTCAGCGCGGCAGGCGTGTACAGCGTTGGGGAGATCTTCAACGGCGACCCTGCCACTGCCTGTCCGTATCAGGGATACCTAGACGGCCTCCTGAACTACCCGATGTGAGTTCCAGTCTGCAGTGCAATCCACAATAAAGCAGGCACTAAACACCCAAAACCAGCTATTTCCAACTCCTCTACGCCTTCGAGTCCAGCAGCGGCAGCATCAGCGACCTGTACAACATGATCAACTCAGTTGCCAGCGACTGCTCCGATCCCACACTGCTTGGCAACTTCATCGAGAACCACGACAACGCCCGCTTTGCCTAGTGAGCCCAACATCGAACTTCTCCATGTTCTACCCACTAACCAAGCAAACAGCTACACAAGCGACTACTCGCAAGCCAAGAACGTGCTCTCATTCCTCTTCCTCTCTGACGGGATCCCCATCGTCTACGCCGGCGAAGAACAGCACTACTCCGGCTCCGGGGTGCCCTACAACCGCGAAGCGACCTGGCTCTCGGGCTACTCGACGACGGCGGAGCTATACAAGTGGATCGCGACGACCAACGCCATCCGCAAGCTGGCCATCTCGCTAGACAGCAACTACATCACCTACAAGGTACGTATCGCACAGTACACCCAGTACCCCTGTCCCTCTTGCTTACCGCCCCTCGCCAAAACTACCACCCAGCCAGCCACTAACCCCTGACCCCGCAGAACAACCCCTTCTACACGGACAGCAACACCCTGGCCATGCGCAAAGGCAGCGACAACCTCCAGGTAATCACCATCCTCTCCAACCGCGGCAGCACCAGCAGCAGCTACACCCTCACCCTAACGGGCACCGGCTACGCCGCCGGCACCACGCTGATCGAAGCCTACACCTGCACGACCCTCACCGTCTCCTCCAGCGGCAGCATCGCCGTCCCCATGGCCTCCGGGCTCCCGCGCGTCTACCTCCCAGCCTCGTCGATCAGCAAAAGCAATCTCTGCGGTAGCTCTTCCACCTCCACAACCACCGCGACAACCACAACAACCCTCAGAACCACAACCACCACGTCCACCAAAACAAGCACAACAACAACAACAACAACCTGCGCAGCAACAACATCCCTCCCCCTCACCTTCATCGAACTCGTAACCACCACCTACGGCGAAGAGATCTACCTGACGGGCTCCATCGCCGCGCTGGGCAACTGGGCCACGACGGCCGGCACGGGCGGACGGGTCGCGCTCAGCGCGGCGAACTACTCCGCCGCGTATCCGGCGTGGTCGGCCACCGTGTCGGTGCCCGTGGGGACCAGCTTCGAGTATAAGTTCTTTAAGGTCGGGAGCGATGGGAGCACGATTACCTGGGAGAGTGATCCCAACCGGTCGTATGCGGTGACGGCGACGGCGTGTGCGGGGGCTACGGCGACGGTTGTGGATAGTTGGCGGTAGGGTTGGTAGGTTGGTAGTTTTGGGGAGAAGCTTTTCGAGAGGAAGGTTGGGGGGGGGTGTGGGAATTGGTTCCGGGTTATGGCTGGATGAAGTGGGATAGATGTCAGAGTTGCGGTGGTTTGGGGATTGTTTGGTCCTGTACTGCTGGAGAATATTCTATGTTGGGGTCGTGCAGGGGCAGAGTTGAGCTCTTGAGTATTATCCCGCTTTTCAATGGATTTTACTTGCGTACATACATGGTTTATACTGTTCTTTGACTTCTATAGTTCTTTCTAGGAGAGAGAGCAAGAATAAGGGTATTGGATTGGATTTTGCAGGTTCAAGAGATAAAGTATGTAGAGCTTCACATCTCAAGCTCAAGTGGGGAATTTTCAATTGGGTACTCAAGGGTAGGGTAGTAAAGGTATAACTATCATCAAACACGTAAATTCACCGAGTAGACTCGCCAGGAGACCGGTCTACCGTGTGGTTCGTAGATGGTATCTCGAAGAAGGCAAGGCAGGCGATTATGTAGTTGAACTGTGCAGTTCGGAGAAGGGAATGAGGTGGGTTGAAGAATGAAGGAACGGGGTATTCGGTATCTCTGGGATGGGAGATGTGGAATGAAAAGGCATCATAGAAGAAGATCACTAGAGCTAGAAGTGGTGTTGGTTGGGACGGTATGGCTGTGTCGAAGGGGAGTATGCCCGTTCGGCTGGTTGGGGGGGTTGAGTTGATGGAGGGTTTGGGGTGGAGGAATAAGCGTGCGCGGCGGGCGGGGGTCGTGTCATCGGAGCATAGGCTTCTGCTGGAGAGGACATGGCATGTGTGGTGGTAGGAGTGAACATCTGGGCTGTCGAATGTGTTGTCACCGGAGAATACGCCTCAGCGGAAGAAGACACAGCGTGGGTGACTGGAGAAAAGGCTACATAGCCGTGCTCCGGGGGTACAGTCGTCTCCGGCATGCCGTTCTCTGGTTGGGAGTGATTGTGGTGGAAATCGTGGTGTTGGCGCTCGTGCTCGTTTTCGGATACGGCGGCATGCGATTCCTCGAATGGATTGAAGGCCGTGTAGCCTTCATGGCTCGTGGAGCTGATCGGGGATGTGGCTCCCATGGCTGTATTGTGTGCTGCGTCGACGGGCGGTTGTCCAGCGTAGTAGTTATAGATGTGTTCGTGACCTTGATCGTGCTGGTGTTCAAGACCGTATGGTTCATCTTCTGGCGGGTGTCTATTGTCAGAATCTTGATGCAAGTCTGTGGCCGATGGGTTGAAGGCAATATAATCGTTCGCGTTATGCGAGGCTTCGTACGAGCCAGCCGGGGAGGCTCTGTCCATGTGATCAACAGCATGAGGCTCAGCGTGGTGCTCAGCGTGGTGTTCAGCGTGGTGCTCAGCGTGGTGTTCAGCGTGGTGTTCAGCGTGGTGTTCAGCGTGGTGTTCAGCGTGGTGTTCAGCGTGGTGTTCAGCGTGATGGTCGAAGTGCTCGTCATAGCTGTGGCGTTCGTCCAAAGGCGAAGTAATGTTGGCAGACGGATTGAACGCGACATAGCCAGCAGCTTGGTCATGTGTCAATTGGTGTGTATCAACCGTGTTGCTACTCAATGCCAGGTGATCTTCATGCTGGCCATAACCACCGTTGTATCCATCCTGTCCGGAAGCGCCATCGCCAGCAAGCGGCATTGGAGAGCTCCGGTCGGCCGGGCTGAACGCAGTATAAGTGTTCGCAGTCCCTGCCCCAACCGGAGACGCCGTTCTTGTCTCCCAGCTTCCCGCCGGAACAGTAGGCGGAGGAGATCTCGCATTGCCAGGACCAGCTGGTGTGAATGACCGTCCAGGATACTCATGACCATGCATAGGATATGGGGTGCCACTCAGCTGATTTTGGGGAGCGAATGGCTGATTTGGCATTTCCTCGACAGGGGAACGAATTGCGCCGGGTGTCAATGCTCGTGCGTTTGGTCCAGTTGCCGGGCTGTAAGAACGGAAAGGAGTGCTTGACTGTGGATAATAGGCCTCTTGGTTTGCGAAGGGATTGTACCCAACGCCAGAGTCCTGCTGCTGGGTCGCATACGGCATGTGACCCTCATCATGCACGGCAGAAGGCGGTGCCGGCGTGTAGTTTGATCGAGACATTGGTGTCTGAATACGTGGCATAGGTGGTGCAGGTGACGCTCGATCCATTCCCCTATATCCCGGAGCAGAAGGCAGGGGAGTGAAATTCTGACGCGACATGGGAGTGTGAGACCGAGGCATCGGTGGGGCTTGTTGCTGAGGACCGGGCGTACGAGTTGACCGCATAGGGGTCTGGCTGCGCGGATCGATTGGCTCTTCATACCCCTGAGCCGGGGGCGCCTGGTTGAAGTTCTGGCGTGGTCTCGGAGTCTGGGAAAGCGGCATTGGAGCAGGCCCTTGATGAGGAAGAGGCGGCACGGGAGGCGCCGGGGTTCCATGTCGATCAAGAGGGCTGTATGCAGAGACGGCAGTACTACCGGACATAGAAGCAGCATCTGAAAAGGAAGACTGAGTCACTGTGCGACTAAGGGCGGGGGCCTTATCATCGAATGTGGACAGGTCAGGAAGAGTTGGTTTGCGGTCTGGGGCAGCTGTGCCGGGGCGAGACGAGTATGCTGGCAACGTAGTTTGCGTGGTGCTCCGCGAGATGGTCGTGACTATCGGCGTCTTATCATCATCGTGCATCCCAACTGTCGGCAAAGTGGGCTTCCTATCGATACCCATGTTGGGTTGGGTGGGCTTCCGATCCTGGAGGGCCACGCCTTTGGCCAGTGCCTTGTTGACCTTCTTCCGGACGATCTGCGTCAACCGTGAATTGATCTTGCGCTTGCAGTACCTCTTCAACGATCCATCCTCCGTGGGTATGTGGTGCCAGAGGAACAGCAAGTAGAGCACAACAGCCAGCAGAAGCTTGAGCATTGACAAGACCCAAATGACCAGAGTGAAGATCATGCCGACCAGGACAATGGCCTGCCGAGTGTTGTCTTCTGCCAGGACCTTGATGTTGTGAAACAGCTGAGACGCAGTAGATCCGTCCGTACCATCGGTATTGCTGCCACCCGGGAGCAAGTCCATCTGCATGACCGAGTAGAGAGTGATCGCATTGACAACCTGTCGCGGGCCATCGGCGAAGATTGTACTCATCCACGCTACAGCAAGGTCAGTCCCATCATCATCATCATCATGAACCAAACCACAAGACAAAGGCACTCACATTCGAAAGAGAAGTAAGCAAAGAGCGCCACGTACTCCGCGCCCTTTCGACTCTTCGTCAACTCCGCGAAAACCAAGAAGCGCCTCCACCCACGACCATTCTGGCCCATGCGGATACTCTGGATGCGCACCGCGAGCGAATCCAGATAGCTGTGCGCGATGCTCCCGGAGCGCATCGCGCGGATGGCGCGCAACCAGCGGTAGATCAGCAGAGCGAACGAGACGATGATGCAGACGGCGAAGATCCAGCGCGAGATCTTGAACGGGATCGCAGGCTCAATGGAGCCCGCCCATCGCGAGAACGCCAGCAGATTGACGGCGGTAAAGGTGTCCACGCCGTAGACAGCCACCGAGACCAACAGAAACACGTAGATCAGAAAGTACGAGAATCCAGACCAGCAGGATTCGGACTTGAAATCGCTCAGGTTGATATAATCCCATTGTTCCTCCAAGGCCACGGGCCCTTTCTCGCGATCGCCCGAACAGAACATTATAAACGATGAGCACGACGGAAAGTCGACCTATTTGCTGATAAAAAAATAAAAAAAAAAAGAGAGAGAGAGAATGTGTCGTGTGAATTTGGACTTTCGTCGGACCAGCCGGGGAAAGTCAATCACACGTCGCAGGCGTAGGCGACGTAAGAACGATTGGAGAGATTTCTAGTCGGGGTCGGTCTCGACAATGGTTTTGTATGCGCCGAGGCAGTTCAAAAGAGCGACGGAGACGGGGGGACGGAGATGGCGGCAAGTCGCGTCAACAGCGCATAGCCGCTGGACAGTGGGTGGATGTGTTAATCGACATGGACGAATCGTACCTGAGCCATCGAAAGCCCGTCTGCGATATGAGGATAGCGCTGAAACGACAACGTGCGGTGGCGGCGGCAGCAGCAGCAAGCAGCTGTCAGCGTAGCGTTAATGGTGCCAAGATAGGGGAAAAGAGGGTTGGGCGCGTGCGATTGATGTGGTTCCTCACCACATACAAGCTGCAAGAGATCGATGAAGGACAGCGAGAGAGAGGGAGAAAAAAAATTAGATACCAGACAGCAGGAAACAGAGAAACGGAGGAATCACTAGCTCTGCCCAAGCGCAATATCCACATCTACCACCCTAGCGAGAGACACTCGGGGGTCGGGGAACAGGAATCGCATGAGTAGGTGTACCTAGAAAGAATGTGGAGAATTGGCCGTCAGGAATGGAGGAAACCAGGCTGAAAGAAGGTGGCCGGCAGAAAAGATGAAACATGGGGAGGGCGCTTGCCATGCACTATCCAATCTATTGAGCATTGGTCCCTTGGGTCAGCCCAGTTGCTGATGGAGCTGATGGGGTGGTAGAAGCCCCTGATTGCGCTACGATTGCACTAGTTATCGCGTGCAGGAAGATTGAACGGGCACCGTTATCGCTTGCTGCGATCAGCACGGTCCCCCTTGCACGTTGCAACTGGTTCGTCTCCCTGCTTGGCGGTTTCAGAATAACAGTGTTCACTCACAATTCAATTGTTCAATTTAGTATCTTCCTTGTTACTTCATACATGAACACACTGTACTGTACAATATGGTGGTAGATCGGGGGGTGAGGGATAGACAGCATGAAGCATGAAGCATGACAGTGTCATCGATCGGCTTAGGCTGCCTGCCCCTGAACTCAACAATGCCAATCGACGAGAAGAATGCGATGCTTGACCGAGTCACCAGAAAGGCTGGGCTGATCCTAGAAGAACCAGCGTCATCAATGCCACAAGTCAACCAACCAGCCAGATACATGTCCAACAATTTCGACCCGCCAAACTTGCGCCTCCCTTCATTCAACAACCGTCACAACTACCCGCTCAATCAACGTCACATGGGTCGGAGGCAAGTCCGGCTATCCTGCGTCTGGGACGCTGGGTCGTCGCATTCGAGATGCCAATGCGCAGCTTGCGGAGTTCCTCTTCCAGCTCGCGGTTCTCCTTGGACCAGCGGATCTGATCCTCCGTGCGTGCTCTCCTCTCCCGGTCGTACATCGATTTGATCATCGAGAAGTCGGCACGGAGCTTCTCCTCGACCTTCCCCGCGGGACTGGCCACCTTCGCCTTCTCGAGCTTCTCCTTGAACTCGTTGATCGTTGTCTGTTGCTCGGAAACCTTGACCTGGCACTGCTGGAGGGCCGTCGCGACAGATCCCACGTTCGCGGTCGGTCGCTTGAGAATCGTCTGCTCGTCGCGGGCTTTCTCCTCCCATTGGGCCAAGCGGACCTCGAGAACCTTGTTGACTCGTTCCGCGGTGTCGGCCCGTTCCTGGCCACGCTGGGCGTCCCTCATCGCCAATCCGACCTGAATCTGGAGGGTTCGGTTCTCCTCGGTGACCTCGGCGAGCTCCTTCTCCTTCATGAACGCCTGGGTTCGCGCCTGCTCAGCCTGGGCGCGCGCTTCCGCCAAAGACATGTTGCCGGCCACATCGCCTTCCTGCATGCTCTGTTGCGCGTTGACTTGGCTGAATTGCGCTTCTGCCAACTGTCTATGAGCTTCGTCGAGGTCGAACTCTAACTTGGCCACCATGATTTGTCCTTCGATTTCAATCGCGTTATTCTCCTCTTGAAGCGCATTGTTTCTCGCAATGGCGGCGGCAAGCTCCTGCTGCATGGTTTCCAGCAACTGGCTCTGATGCGGGTTGGCTTCGTGTGAGACCCGGAAAGCCTCATACTCTGCGATGATCTGCTGGTTCTGAGCTAAAAGCTCCAGCTTCTCCGTAAGAAGCTCCTGACGTTGGGTTTCACTCTCACGACCGTGCTCCTCTGCAGTGGCCAGGTGCTTCTCAACGTCAACAAGCTTGTCAGCACAGGCCTGTAGTTCATCGGTGCGTGTCTGGAGTGCATTCTTGAGTGACTGCAGTTCCTGTTCCTGCTCCTGGTTGAGATGCTGCTGGCCTATAATCGCAGCTTGCTGGCTGTCTCCGTCTGCGGCAAGCAGACGTGATTCAACGGAAAGACACCTTTCAGTCCAGATGTCAAGTTCGTCGGTTCGGCTCTGAAGTTCATCCTTCAGTGACTTAAGCTTCTGATTTTGGGCAACGCGCTCGGCTTCATTCTGTTGGCTATGCTTTCGAGCCGCGGCCAGTCGTTTTTCTGCGGCTGCGAGCTTATCCGTCCGGATCTGAAGCTCAATCTTCAGTGACTGGATTTCCTGGCTCTGGGCAAGGTTCTGTTCACGCTCGGGCTTGGCCTGTCGAAAATGCTTTTGAGCAGCGGCCAGTCGCTTCTTTGCATTTGCAAGCTCATCGGTGCGGGTCTGAAATTCGCTCTTTAGAGACTGGAATTCCTGTGTATGGATATGCGTCTGTTCGCGCTGGGCTTTACCCTGTTGGCTATGCTCTTTAGCTTTGGCTAGTTGCTTCTCTGCATTCGCAAGTTCATCGGTGCGGGCTTGAAGTTCATTCTTCAACTGATCATGTTCCATTTCGCCCTGCTGACTCTTCCTCTCCACGGTAGCCAGCCGCTCTTCCGCAGCTGCAAGCTCATCGGTACGGGTCTGAAGCTCACTCTTCAACGACGAAAGTCCCTGGGTCAACAGCTTCTCACATTCAATCTCTACACAACGGCCACGCTCCTCCGCAGCGGACACGAGAGTCTCAGCCTCAGCGAGCTTGTCGGTGAGGGTCGTCAATGCGTCGGTGCGAGTCTGGGGCTCATCCCTGACCGTCTGAAGCTCCTTCTTACTTCTAGCGTTGACCTTCTTCTTCACGCCAGCCAGCTGCTTTTCCAGCTGCACGATACGGTCTTTCAGGAATTGCTCTCGTGCCGCGTCCACTTCATCCACGACCACGAACTGGGCCTCCGCTCTGGCCATGGTGAGGTTATTCTCCAGCTGGACGACCTTCTTCCTCAACTCGTCGATGATTCCCGCGTGTGCATTTTTCGCCTGGCGGAGCGCGCTCTCGACCCTGCGGGAGGCGAGGTCGGTCTGGCGACGAACCGTCTCTTCCAGCCGCTGCTTCTCCGCCTGGAACTCAGCGTCCTTCGTATCCATGCACCGCTGCAGTTGATCATTCGCACTCTCGAGAGATTTGGACAGATTCCAAAGATACGTCTCGCATTCAGTGGGTTGGGGCTCGCCGCCCACCACTGCCGGCACCATCCCCCGGCGTAGAGCGGCCACTTTGTTGCACAGGGTGTAAAAGAGCCACAGCCCTATAACAAGGGTTGGGATCAAGACAGTCATGAAAGCCAGAAGGCGGAGGTGACGGACGTCGCTGTCCACAGGCGGCACCAGCCACTGCGCGCGGTCTTTGAGCGTTTCGTACAGCTCCAGGCCCGTCTCCACGCCAGAACAGCGGTAGCTTGCCAGCCACTGCTCTCTGCCCCAGCGATCCGGTAACCCACAGCGCGCGGTGGCGGCAAGACAGTCTTCGTACCGGCCCCGCCCGATGGGACTGAAGCCCGCGGTCATGCCAGCCCAGTAATGGTGGCCTGGTATCAGAGCAGAAATGTACATCCACTTGGACAAGATCGCCAGAGCCCAGAGGCGACATACGCCACTCAGCGGGCGGTTGGACGGAAAGAACCAAAGGACTCCAACCAAGGTAAGTTGAATCAGGCTAGATTTGAGGATTGCATCCCGGGCGTTCGCGGAACACAGACGATAGAAGCTCTGGCGAGACTCCTGAGTGGAAAGCTGCTGGAGCACCCAGTGGATGCTCTGTAGCAAGCAGCAGATGGGCGAAATGATGAATCGTTGGGCCCCGGTCAGGGTCAAGGGAGCCAAGTCCGGCAGGAGAATCACGATAAACGTGATAAGAATTATGGCTTGGAAGAGTAAGGTGCCCCCGTTGGTCAGGTCGAGGTATGTCAGCACGTCGAGGCCGGAGGCGTGCTCGGGATTGGTGACCTGCCCGTAGAAGAAGATCTGTTCTGCGGCGTTCGACATCTTGTTGATGAGGTCGAAATTGACGCTCAGAGGTCCTTGAGTGGGATACTTTATGAAGCGATGGGTATGGAACGATGAGACGATTGGTTTTAGAGGTCTGTGGTATGGGCAGTGGGCACTGCTCGCTTCTTGAGTAGGGAGTAGTAACGATGGAAAGCTTACAGGTAGGAAGAAGTAGAATGACGAGAGATAGGTCGCGATCCTTTGGAAGCTTAGAGGGTTCTGTTCCTCTGTGAAGTTGTCACAACACGCGTCTGTCTGGCCGTCGAAGCTTTTCTCGGTGTCGGTGTCACCAGAGCAAGCCTCTTCAGGCCTCCAGACATACGTCTGAGACTTTCAAGCGTGTTTTGCAGGAGGAGAAGAAGTCTTGTCTTTCAGCTCTTGGAAGAATGTGCAATGTAAGAAAGATGGTAAGTTTGGGAAAGAGATCGGTGGTTTGAAGGAGAGAGAGATGTAGAGGGAAGATGGTGAGAGGTGAGGCGAAGAAGGAGAGAGATGTGGGAGAAAGGAAGATAAATGTTGTGGAGTGATAGAAGAAGTTATTTGTAGAGGTGAAGGAAAAAGTGAGGGTCAGTTGCTACGGAGAGTGAGGGAGTATCAGGTGAATATCAAACTCATGTTGTCGTGGGGAGAAGCAAGTATCATCGCCCATAGTAACATGATCACTTCACACTTCCAGGCACACATGTTTCAGAAAAAGAGCAACTAGCAAAGTGACTATGACATAGAGGCTAGAGACCACTTAATATACTACCTTGGCCATCAAAGAGCAAATCTACCAGCTTGTAACCATATACAACTAGCTAGAACGCAGAAAGCAAGCATGCATACGAAAGAACCCTGCCATACAAGCTTGATAGATCAAAGAACTTTTTGCCGTAGTCCACAAAACATTGCTACTTTATATGCATATATACACACACCAAGTGGCTCTACCCCATTAGATTGGTCTGCCTCCACATCCATACCACCAGGCTGATATCTACTGCATTCTTATTTACTTGGACCCAACTGTTATACGTAGTGATATATCTTGATTGTAGCTCCGTGCTCCTCAAGCCTGATTCTTCTTTGGCATCCTGGGCAAGCCCAGCCACAGCAGCAAGATTCCTCCAGAGAGTCCGATGATGAAGGGCTGCAACACTTTGACTCCGCGTGCCTGCGCAATAGCACCCACAGCGAACGGCAGAATAGCAGCCCCTCCGCCGCCAAATGCGGCAGCGAACCCAATGGCACTGATGTGAAGATGGCGAGGGAGGAGCTTGGTTGCCACCACTACCGCGGCCGGGAAGAACGGTCCCAGGAAGAACCCTTGCAGAGACACGGCCACTGCGGACGAGTAGAAGTTCGGGACCAACCAGAGGACAAGGCCTGCAGCGATAGCACAGCAGGAGTATACCTGTGGAGGGACTAAGTCAGAAAGAACCGCGCATGGGTCATATTTCAGGAATTGAGAGGTGAAATGTTGGACTTATGGATCCTGGCGCGGCGAAGAATAGCCGGACTGTGCAATACAATGGGAAAGGGAAACATACTATGATTGCCAACTTCTCGCCAATGCGCGGGGTGATAAATCCGAGCGCCATGCGCCCGACAGTGATTCCCAGCCAGAACCCGGTAGCTGTCATCCCACTTGCGAAGGACTGACCATGGCGGACCTGGATCATGAATGTCACTATCCAGCCGCCCAGAGCGACTTCAATGCCGACATATCCCAGCAGGAAGATGGCACAGATCCAGGTAACCCGCGCATAAGACTTCTTGAACAGCACTTCACGAAGCCCCGCCTTGTTGTCATCATCTGACTGTGGCTCTCTCGCTTTGTCTCGTTCTGCTGATGCATCCCAGAAGGCTGAGGCACAGACGGCCAGTTCAGTGGCCGCGCAGGCGATCTGCAGACGTAGAAAGAAGAAACACGTAAGCCAAAGCTTAGAACGATACAAGGGCCGCATAACTTCTTGGGAGGGAGGACACCAGCCTTACCAGAATATAGTAGTAATAGTACCACGGAAGATGGGCCTTCGTGATCAACGACGTTGCGATCAGAGGGCTGATCACACCTCCAACACCGTAGAGCCCGTGCAGAAGCCCCAGAATCTGGTTAGAGTCGGCCATGTTACCTATCCAGGCATTCCACGAGGCATCCCCAAGTCCATTTCCGAAGCCTGCGAAGATAAACGAGACGACCAGGACCGGATACGGTGGGTGACAGCAATTGACGATATACGCGATCACATGGCAACTCGGCGTCAACACGGCCACGCCTCGACGGCCTAATTTGTTGTGAATTCGGCTGTTCAGAAAGGCAGCCGCGGTGTAGCCGACTAGCGGTGAGAAGAATACGAGCGACACCACAGTGTAGGAGAGGCGGTAGTAGCTTTCCAGCTGCGGCAACTGCTCAGCGGCGATCACACAGCTCTATGGCGGTCGAATGCTTACATAGGGAATAAGAGGCTACTATGGTCAGCTTCGATCAATTTTCCAGGTAATAGCAGATTGCTGATCACTCACCCCGTAGGCGGCATCATTCATTCCCATGACCAGGAAACTCCAAAAGGTGGCGAGGGTCTTGAAGACATTGGAGCGAGGATGATTCCATCGCTCAGCCTCGTGGAAGATTTGCGCCGGTTCCTCGTTGGAGTCGAGAGCATTCGTCTGATTCAGGTTGCTGAGGGGAATCGGCTCCTCCATCCCAGCCATATTGGGGTCAAAAAAGTTCAAGTGGAGGAGTGCGTTCGGACCCAGCAGAGTGAGGGGGAGCTCGCAGGGATATATATGAGGGTCACTTCCTTGCCAAGGCTGCCAAGTTGGTAGCAATGATGATTCTGATTCAATGCTTGATAAGTTAGCGGTGGAGACCCCATACTGGGTCCCTGGGCCCTGAGCCAGCCCTCGGGGCATGCTGGCTCATTACCCATTTTAGGCTTATCTGCACGAAATAGGCTCGGTTCGAATCCCCACCATTTTACCTGGTAATCGACCTGTCTGGTATGCGATCACCTCACAATGTGCAAATCCCGCAGTCATGGCGGTGCCAACACGAGGCCCCAACAATCGAAATGTATATAATCGCTTTTTTGTCGATACCGAGTAGTTTATCCTTATCTGATCAAAGGAGACTCCTTGCATCAAACTTTATCTACCCCGGGTCGGTTACACGGCATCATCCACAGTAAGATGATTGGAGTCTGAACATGCCGTTTGCTTTTCAACCCGGTCTCCAGTTGACTGGCCCTGAGCTCCCATACATATACGTAGTTAATACATATTCCATCAGGAGTGAGTTTGCATGCACATGGAAGCACAGTACGCATGTACAATTTGTGCGATCATGATGCCGACGATACGACTGTACCCAGGTAGATAAAAATGTATACACGGTCTACTTGAAGCGATGGCAACGGGTCTGCGAGATATCCTCTGAATCAAAAAGTTGAGGGATTCTGTACCCATGACGTAGGTTGGACGGATAGATAAAAAGCATCGAGCAGGAAAAAAAGACAAAAAGAAAGATCAAATTGCATCATCCGTGAATCGAACACGGGCCTCATCGATGGCAACGATGAATTCTACCACTAGACCAATGATGCTGGTTGATATGCTTAATCAACTTAAGGTACATTATGTCAAGAGCATATCCAGCGAGGAGAAGACAAAAGCCTACCTACCAAGTAGTGCATCAATGTATTGTACATACTGTACAGTACTAAACAACATGGCTAGGACGTCGCCCCGCGTATGATTAAAGTATGAAACTCTCGAACAAGCGATAATGTATCTTCCATTTACTCTTACAGTAGTTGGCCTGACTTCTCTAAATCATATTTTCCGTTTTCATCGACCTCGAATCCCTATCTCACAAATTGCAAATATTGCCCTCGAAACGTATACTTCCTCCCGGAAAAAATGAGTGCTATCTATACTGCTTTCCGGGCTTTCTTACAAAAATCAAATGAAGCCAGTCGAATGAATATACTGCGTCACCCATTGCTCTGTCCAGCAGAGTCCACTTCCAAGCACATACTGTGCGGGTTATTCTGGTGCGAGAAGAGGCGCATCCTCCGCGTGCAAATCACCACTCTTGGAGCCATGCCCACGTCGCTTGCGACGACGTTTCTTCTTCGATCCGCTGCCATCGCCATTGCCAAGATTGACGATCTCCCCATCCTGTTGAACAGGAAACTGGGCCTGGGCATTAGCTTTGGGTGTATCCGATTCGGAGGAGCTGGTGGCGGTGCTAGTGGTGTGGAGGACTACTTTGCGGATGCCGTTGACGTCGACCACCTGCTCCGTAATGCTACCACTGCGGGCGGGGCCCTTGTGTCGGTAGCTGCCGGGCCGGAGACGATCAGAGAGTTCGGAGTCGGTCGACTGGAAGCTATGCGCAGGGCTGTTGCTCTGCTGCGCACGAGTGCTGGGGCGGGTGTTATCATCCTGTTCCTCATGGACAGCTTCCGGTATGGAAAGTGCCGATCCGTCGGTCATCCGCACCGTATCGGATAAGGAGCGACCATGACCTAACGTGCCGTAGCCTGCCCGAACGGCATATACACCGTCTCGTGCATCCAATCCGCTTTGCACTAATCCGGCACCGATGCCGCCCTGCAAGCCAGAAGTAGTGCTTCTGACCAAGCCGTCCGCGCTCTGGCGAGACTCTAGATCAGTATGGCCAGACCGCGAGGGAGAGGCACTCCGCTTGATCTTCACACTCTGATATCTGGTCTGGCGAGGCCGGCTGGCAAGATTTGAAGGGCCGAGATGCTTCAAGTGCTCACGAATTTCGTCTGTCGCACCTCGTTGAGTTATAAAGCCATCAGTGGAGTCGGAATTTTTGTCTGAATGGGGACGACGAAACTGAAAACGAGGCAAGGGCGCTTCGACAGAGCTTCGCCGATTCTCCTTCGAGGAACCGTTGGTCGGGGGTTCCGCGGTGGGTTCGCCTTCGATGTCGATCAGCGGCTCACTTGACTCGGCCGGCAGCATCGGGGGGTCTTCCACAATCCGGCCTTTAGGGACTCGAGATTTGGGAGCCGGAGCCATGCGACGGATCGCCTTGTGAACGTCGACGAAAACATCGGATTCATCGATGATCTCCCTATGATACGATTAGCCATGCTCTTTCTCCGATGTAGATGAGTTACATACTCTCCGATCAATTCCTCGATCACATCTTCCAAGGTGACCACGCCCAAGGCGCCGCGATCTTCACCCGGATACTCCGATACGAGAACCATGTGAGACTTGCCCTCTTGGAAGAAATTGACAATGTCCAGACAGCTTGTCTCCGGGCGCGTCTCCGGAAGAGTGGCTAGGGCGAAATCCCGGACCCGTTTGCAATCTTCGGGGTCATAAGTGATGAGCATCTTGACCAACAGCATGCCGACAAAATTCATGTCATTGTCGGGCGCATGAATGGGGATGCGGGAGTATCCCTGAGACAAAATAAGATCCATGGTTTCTTCGTCGAGTATAGTGTCCGCGGACATGGTAAAGACATCTTCCATGGGGGTCATGATGCTGCCCACGGACTTGTCCTTGAGATCCAAGACAGCGCTGATGATCGTGACCTCATCCGAATTGAGCTGCTCCCCAGCTTCACCCAGGGTCTTATGCAGCGTGACCAAAGTTTTGAGGCCTGCTTTCTTGTAAATGGTTCCGTGGTCTTCTCCCAGCAGCTTATCGAGTAATTTGGCAACAGGGTAGGCCACGGGAGACATGATGTACATAAGCGCCAAGACGCAGGGGGCCATCCATGCGCCGATAGGCAACCCGTACCGGACGCAAATGGATTGAGGCACGATTTCGCCAAAGATCACTAAACACATCAGGCGGACGATAAGCAAGGACCTCGCGCGCCAAGGAAGAGGGATTTTCCCGTACCAATCAGGACTGTACTGCCGAGCACTGCTGGCCAGCCACCTCCCAGTGACCGATCGAGCACAATTGGAAGAGTTTCGTTGGTGATCACGTTGCTGAGAAGGAGAGTCACCAGCACCCAGTGCTTTCCCCGCTGCAACAGTCTCAGCACGCTTGCTGCATTTTTGCGTTCGCCCTCTTCACCAGAGGTTTGAATAACTTGTAGATAGACTTCATCCTAGATTCCGCGCGGGGGTGCATTCCCCAGAGATTAGCCTCCCGAAAGTGCTCGCAATGCGATGAATGAGGTCAAGTGGACACGAAGGAGGGAGAAAAAAAAATACCTGGCCCATTAAAGCTATCGTCAGACCAGCAAATGCACCACCGCTCAAGACCAGAGCGGCGGCAACTCCGAGATAGAGCCATAGACTAGGGTCGCTTGGAGGTTTGGGATCGACTTCGGAATGAATGACATAGGTAGGAGCGGCGGAGATGAGAGGCAGGTTCACACAGGCGAGAGTCAACAGCTTGGCAAGACCAAGGACGAGAGGCCGGGCGGCCAGGATGCGGGTGGATGGGGATATCGCCATCACCGATGGGACAGATGAGAAAGAGAAATCTCGAAGGAAAAGGGAAGGAGGGCCCTGAGCCTGGGCTACAACAAGGACATATTTATTTTAAAGACTAAGCAGTAGCGGCGGATTTTCAGTTTGGGGGAGGGGGGTGGGTGTGGGAGGGGATGAGATGCAGAGAGAAAGGTTCACGTTGCCTTAGTGGTCGGGCTAAGAAGGGCGCGGCGTGCGATCGGGTCAGTGCCGTAGTGGATAGAGTGACGTCGCCCCCAGTCGAGAAATAGGGAGAAAGGCGGCACAGGAGGTTAAGGAGGCGACCGCTTGTCTCCTATAATTTATAAATATGATTTGAATAAATCCTGGTCCGGAGTACAGTACAGAAGAGGGTCCCCAGGGGGAAGGGTTTCGCCTTGTGAAACTTCAGGAGAAGGACAGGTGATTGTTGATTGTTGATTGTTGTTCACGGGCAAGAATTGAATTCTGGAAAGAAAGAAACTCAGCTGCAGTTCGTTCTGAACAGGGTCTAGCCCGGCGGAAGGAGTTGCAAGCTGATGATGGAAGAAGGGCTGATTGATACCTGAGGTATCCACGGTAAATAGCCGGTCGCGGCCATGCTACCTTGTCCTTGTTACGATTTCGATGAGAGGAAGGAAAGATCCGGGTAGTCTGCCTTCCGACTCTCACCAATCATATACAGGAACTGCGATCTTGCCCCAGAAGCTGGTCCGTGCCCCGTGACAGCTGTTTGCATTTGAAGGTTGAGTCAGCCGTATAACCCTCTGCACATATACTGTTGTACAAACAACCTACCATCTAAGGGACACCACACTTGGTCATTTTGGGATATAATAACAAACAACTAGTTTCTCAACCTGAGCGCGTGGGGTATATGCTGCATATTTTTCTCGATAGCCTCATTTCTTTCTCTTGTCCTTACCTCGTATCGGAATAGCTTCGTGTCTCGTTGGGAAGGCATTGACCTAACCGGAGGCAGCATGAGAGCACGTGTTATGGGTCTCAGTGCCTTGTACGATGTGTGGGGGAGAGGGAGGGGAGTGGAGGACGAGCTCAAGGCCGCCAACTGACATGGCCACAACCTCAGCTCGTCCACTACGAAATGGGGCTCCTCCGGATCTCGTATGTCGACTGATGCAGGCCTGTAATCCTCCCTTTCTTCTGGAAATCTTTTTCGAAACTTGTTCGCCACATAAGGTTCAGGTTTGTGATCGCGATGAGGACCGGTGTCTGGCGAATTGAAAGGAATATAAGAGTAACGTTAGACTACCTAGTCATC